AAAAAAAAAAAAAAAAAAGAAAGAAAGAAAAAGAGGAATAAATAACATTCTAGGGCAGGTGAGCAGTATCCAAGGCAGGAATAAACTTTGAAAGGAGGAGAGCAGGAGGCTCCTTCCAAGACTGGGATTCAGACCTCACTGGAGAGGGTGTGGCTGGGCCCCCTGGCTGGCAAGGTAAGGCTAGCAAGCAGCAAACTATGGACTTTGATAAAAGTTTTCTTTTTAATCAGATGACTACTTGGCTTTCTAGCCAACCCAATCATTGAGATGTAATATACATTTCTCCTTTCAGGTATTAATAAACTAAACTATATTACTAGATTTGTTAATGTTCAGTCATCTTAAATTCTTGGGATCAGCCTTTCTGGGTGATAATGTGCTTGGCAAGCAAAACTCTGTGCAGCAGTAAAACTTGGGGTGAACAAGTGCCAATGGGCGTCACTGCTCAGACCCTCCCAATAGGGCACCCTAGAACAAGAGGGGCTGGACACGCGTGCAGAACAGCCCCACTGCCACGTCCTGGAGTGCCCCTGCTGACAAAGCGTAGTGTTTTGCTAGGCGGTCAGTTTCCAGCAAGCATCCTGCCAGTGAGCAGCCAGTTTGGAACTGAGTGACAATAAATTGCTATTGGCACAAAGGGTTTTTATTTTCCATTTATCTTCAACTGTAAGGTTTACTGTAGGCTTAAAGTTGTTTTTTTCTAACTTTTGTTTTTTTGAGACAGGGTCTTGCTATGTAGTTTGGCTGCCTTGAACTCACCATGTAGCCGAGGCTGGCTTTCTAACTCATGGTAATCATCCTGCCTTAGCCTCCTGAGTGCTAGGATTACAGGTGTGCGCCAATATGCCCGCCAGATTTTCTTTTTTAAAAAGCAGTGAATATTCAACTTTATGAGATGGATTTTTTTCACCCTTTGAGATATATTTTTCCTCCTTTAATATACTAATAAAGTAAAATTCATTAACATATTTGCTGTTTTCTTTAAATTATTGAGATAAACACTGCTTGATCATACTGTATTTGTTTTTTAAGAAGCTGTTAGAATTGATTTACTTATATATTTATTCATAAGTGTTGTAACCTATAGATTTTATCTCAATATTGATTTCAAATTTGGTAGTATAAAGTTTTATGTACAGCCTTACATTTTTTAAGTTTCCGTTGTGCAGTCATGCCATCTGTTTTTGTTTTCTTTTTTGTTTTTGTTTTCGAGACAGGGTCTCGCTATGTAGTTCAGCTTGGCCTTGACCTCGCTATGTAGCCCAGGCCAGCCTTGAACTCACAGAGATCCTCCTGCCTCAGCCTTCTCTGAGTGCTGGGATCACAGGCATGGAGTGTGCAGTCTGAGGACATTTCAGCATACACACCCATGCAGCCACCACCTACAAGGTACCAAGAGTACGAATGCATCCCAGGGGCCCTGCCCACTTCCAACACTGACCCACATCCCAGATAACCACTGTTCTGCTGTCACTGCGGGAAAAGCCTTGCTTGTTCTTGAGCTGAAATGAATGGCACCAGAGAGTACATGCTGTTCGTGTCTGGTAGAAGCCATGTTTCCATGTTCTTTCTGACAGAGGCTTGAGGAGCAGCTGGAATTCTGGATGGAGAAATTCGATAAGGACACCGAGATGAAGCAGAGCGAACTGAATGCTCTCCAGGCCGCTAAGGCCGGTGACTTAGCTCACCTGCAGGACCTGGCGACCACGGTGAGGCGGCAGCTGAGCCAGAGGGGCTGGGACGCTGTTTGTGCCCAGAAGTGAAGGTGGCCTCTAAGCAGTGGCTTCTCCTCAGAGGACGGTGACAGGAGCAGCAGCTCACACTCACGTGACGTTACTCTGTCCCGAGCTATTCTGGTATTTGAGGTTTAACTTTGAAACCTCACCACTCCTTTAGATGCTGCACTGTCGTCATTTTTGAGACAGGATCTGGATAGGTAGCTCTCGCTGGCCCCTTACTCATGACGATCCTCCTGTCTCAGCTTCCTGAGTGCTGGGATTACAGGCGCATATCCCCTTCCTTGGCTTGTACATGATTTCCAAGGAGCTTGTGATTGTGGCTCGATCACTGAACGAGTGTGGAACTGCCTAAATTACTCTTTCCAAGACAGTGATTTGCTCATGTACATTCTACTGAAGTTTTAAAAAATCATATTATGTTGAGGTCACTGTTCACACACTGAGTTAGTATTTCATTTGTATGAAAGTTTTTAAACCTTGTATTGAATTACACTGAACAAAATTGGGAACATTATAAAGTTAATATATGCTTATCTGTAATCCAGTAATATTTTTCTATAGTTTACATTTAGATCTAGTGTACTTTGGTTTTTTTTTTTTTGGTACCGGGGATCGAACTCAGGTCCTTGTTGCTTGCGAGGCAGGTGCCGGAACCACTGAGCTGAATCCCCGGCCAAGCATGCTTTATTTTAAAACTGTATTGAAAGTGCAGGGCTGAGAGTTCAGTGACAGGAGTAATGTCTACTTTTACAGATACGGGAATATGAGCAGGTCATCATTGAAGATCGGATAGAAAAGGAGAAGACCAGGAAGAAGATGGAACAGGATATGTTGGAACTAAAGAGTGCCATAAAGGTAGAGAACTGTAACTGGCTGGTGTTCTGGGGTCCCCAGATCACAGCTGGCCTATTCCCAAGGGACACAGCTTTTCTCATCCATTATCAGACATAGTGGCCGTTTAGAGCTGGACATGGTGGCCCGTGCCTGTAATCCCATCACTCAGGAGGCTGAGGCAGGAGGATCACTGAAGTTCAAGGCCAGCCTGAAGTACATATTGAGACCACCCTGTCTTGAAAACTGAAAACCAAAAACCAGGGCTGGGATGTAGTCAGTGGCAGCACCCTGCCTGGCAAGTGCAAGGTCCTGAGTTCAATCAACAACCAACCCATGGCCATTTACCATGGAGCCAACCGGTGAGGCCTTCTGTTCTGTCAGTGCAGAGACACTGACCTGGATGGGGAGGCAGAGGTGGTCAGTTGCGGAGGTAAAACTGAGGGCCAGAGCTCAAACTTGAGACAACTGCTTCTGACCAAACCAGCTCTTGGCAGTTTCTTCTGAGCATCCTGCTTCTTCAAGTCATTTATGTGGCAGCCCAGCTGACTTGCCATGGCCTGATACAAGCAGCTTTCCAAAAAGGCAAGGGATCAAGCAGCCGGTTAGAAAATGAGATGTTACAGTTTCTGTGAACTCGCTCATTAGCAGTGACGAAACTAGCAGGTCACACGTTTGGGACATGTTTTAAAGCAAAAGCTATATGGCAAAAATACTATGAGTTGGGCCGAAGCTGCTATCTGGAGCCCATCCCACCCCTGAAGATAGGCATCTGCCGAGACCCCAGGGGGAAAACTAGTTTGGATTGAAGTCAAGAAGGTGGACAAAAAAAGCAGCTTTTTCTCCCTTTAAAAAATTTTTTTTCTTGGTACTGGGGATTGAACTCAGGACCTTGCACTTTGTTTTTTTTTTTTTGAGACAGGGTCTCACTATGTAGTTGAGACTGACCTGGAACTCACTATGTAGCCCAGTGGTCTCAAACTCACAGCGATCCTCCTGCCTCAGCCTCCCGAGTGCTGGGATTACAGGTATGCGCCACACCTGGCCATAGGACTTTGCACTTTTGAGGCAGGTGCAGCACCACTGAGCTAAATCCCCAGCCCTATCTCCCTTACTTTTTATATAGTATATATTTTACTTTATACTAATATATTCTTATATTACAAAGGTAATTCAGTGGAAAAATCTTCCAAAAAAGGAAGCGTTGTTGTCCCCTGAGGACAGGTACCTGAACCAACTCTGAGCTGTTAGCAGAGTCCAATGTATAACTAGCAAATATATATCAAGCTTCTGTATTTTCCATTTGTTGAGATTCTTTGGTTTAGGGCCAAAACCTAATAACTTTCTGAAGACTACTTTTGTTTTCTTTTTTCTTTTGGTAGTGGGGATCAAAGTGCACTTTTGAGGCCGGTGGCAGACCACTGAGCTAAATTCCCAGCTCTACATTTGTTTTCATTGGTGGAGTCGCTCCCAGTCTTTAGGGCTTAGGATGATTTTTAAGTAGCCTCGACTGCATTCCTAACAGTTTTAGCTAAAGAAGATAGTCAAGGTATTCTTTCAATCCTTCTTGAAAGTAAGATTTAATTAATTCGCAAAGATAAGAAACAGCCTAGTGAAGCCATCTGATTTCTGACCTAGTCCAGGTACCAAATTCTCCTGGACGCTCATTTTTTTGAGATAAGGTCACACTACACAGGTCAGGCTGGCCTTGAACTCATTATGTGGCCCAGACTGGCCTGGAACTCTCGATCCTCCTGCCTCTGCCTTGAGTGCTGCGATCACAGGCGTGCACCACCGGGACCACCTCTCCTGGACGTTGGTAGTGAAGCAGTTCAAGGAAGTCAGGTTTCTAAGCATGAATCATCCGATTCTTTGTACCAAGTGACAGTGGCTGGCCGGTTTGATGTCCCTCAGAGGCTTCCGTGGGAAGCAGCATGGCGGGCATATTCTAAATGGAACTCACTTCCCTCCCTCTTGCAGCTCCAGGCCTGGTGGCGGGGCACTGTGATAAGGAAGGAAATCGGAGGCTTCAAAATGCCTAAGAAAGAGAAAGATGACAGTAAGGATTCAAAAGGGAAAGAGAAGGACAAACGAAGAGGCAAGAAGTGACAAGTGACGTTACCTCCTGTCCTTGCCTCTGGGATCCTGGAGGCTGGGAGCATCCAGAGAACTCATCTGCATATTGTTTGTTTGGACATCACCAGGTGGAGCCTGGTGATTTCACCTGAATTAGGATTATACTATCAATTTAAGGTTTCTTCATATACGGAATTTTGCTTGGAAGAAGTATTTTTAGCAGCCTATTCCTTTTGTTCTTACCAGAAAAAAGTTCTTGGGCTTAACGTATAATGATACATTAAAACTTCAGTAACTCCTGTGTGTCTGGCTCTAAGTCTAAAGTGAGAATCTTATGTGCAAAAGTAAACTATTCAGTAGGAATTCTGAGGTACAATATACACAACAAATTTTAACAAACTGGTTCCTGCCTTTTAGTGTTTTTAAAATTTTTGGTACCAGGGATTGAACTCAGGACCTTGTGCTTGTGAGGCAGGTGGCAGCACCACTGAGCTAAATCCCCTGCCCTACTTTAATGTTTTTTACTGGGGGAGGTGACAGAATATTTATAAACTGCTCCAGGAATATTCTGGAGATTGGTAGGGATATAAATTATAGCCAAGCTAGAAATAGGGTGTTAGGGTACGTGGTAAAGATGAGGACACACAGGTTCTCTGGAAGGCTAGAGGCAGGGTCTTTCAATGTAGTTCAGGCTGGCCTTGAACTTGGGAGGTTCCTTTCCAAGTGCTGAGATTACAGGGGTACACCCACGCTGGTTTAAATTTGGAGTTATTTTCAACAAGACACAACTGTTCCCATCCCGTGGGGTGTTAAGAATGGCAGAGGGAAGGCGTTTGAAAATACCTACCTGTGCAAGGCACAGTACAGCTGTTTGTCATTCTCCCTCCCTTATGGAGCAATGAGCCCACTAAGTCATGCTTGCCCTGATTAACCAAAACAATGTCTGGAGATGCTAATGTTTTCTCTACAGCAAAGCTGGGAACTTCTAAGAAAAGCTGTCCTCAAGTGTCATTTATTTCACACATTAAACTCTCCATACAACTTCAATTACAGGACAATCTTGGTATCTCTACTTCCTTCAAGGAATTCGATAGCCTATCCTGGCCTTGAACTCTATGTAGCCTAGGCTGGCCTCCCAGTGATCCTCCTGCCTCAGGCCCCCGAGTGTAACTGCTGGGACTATAGGTGTGTGCTGGCTGGAAACTAAGCTTTAGGTATAAACATTTTCAAACGTTTATTACATGCTACTTAAGTGCTGGCTTTATTTTAATGTCAATGTGTAAGGTGGCATACAGGCAATTTAAAATAACATGATACTGACATATTTATACTTAAACTTATGCAATATATTTACAGACATACAAATATAGGACAATGTTTTACATAATCTTTTACTAATTACATGTTTATAACATTTTCAGAATAAAATGAAATCTGTAAACCATCTCACTGCAATATATAAATAAAAAGGTTTCTACTACTCAGGTTTTCCTTCATTTCTAGAACCACTTAAGCTTTTAAAATTCATCAGATTCGTCAGCACAGTCCCACATTAGTTGCTGCTGACTGTAGAAAGCAAGATGAATTACAGACTTTGTGATTAGCCGTGCAGTGCATGTTATGAACTGTTAAGTGACCTCCTGCTAAGCTGTCTCCTCCTGTTCTGGCTGGATACCCACGTCTCCTCCCTGAGCAGTTTCCAGACCTGGTTATTAAGGAGAACGCTGGTCTGGAGCGTGAAGCGGACGCATCTGAAGGCCTGGAAACTGCTGATGGGAAATCTCTGTGTGTGGCAGGGGCGGCCCAGGCGGGGCCCCTTGGTGTTGGCGCTCTCAGTGCTGGGAGGCCCCTTCTCCAAACCTGGGCCAGGGTGACAAGGCCATGTGCATCATACGTGAGTCTAGCAAACTTAAATGCTAAACGGAATTGTTCGTTTAAAAAAAAAAATACACAAAACACAATACCAAAAATTTCCAACAAAAGCATCATTTGTTTTCATGTACAGAAAAAAGTTCAATATATCTGGACATTTTTCCTTCACTATCAGCCAAATTTGGTCACAAATTTTTTCCTAACAAATTGAAACATCTGAATTAGTTTGATAAAAATACAATAGTTTCATATAAGTGTAAAATTTAACGTAAGTTGAAATTCCCACTCATCCCTATGTAAAAGCGAGATACGGCTAGTGTCACGTTATGTAATGTATTCTGGACTTGTTCCTCACACGATACAATTCAGAAGCTGGAGATTTTACTGAGGTTTAATGTGGACTAGAAAGAAAAATATCTAGTTAAAAAAATACTGCTAAATTTGCACCAAGATACATAGTTGGTGGGTGTGCCTGGAACTGTAAGTTTAGTGGGTCTGGCTCTAGCATTTATCAACATTTTACTTTCATTCTGTGAGGATTTATGGATTGGGCTTTCAGCTCAGATAGTTGTTACATAAAGTTAAACTTGAACACAGAGAAAACATGACCAGATAAACAGAATGACTTTACCCAAAGCTTTGAGTTGCAGCACTTACATGATGGAGAGGGCTGACGGGATGCCTAGATGCGTGTACTGATAAAATCCAGAACAGATACAAAAGGGAAAGATCACTAAATAACTAGAAGCCGTGCTTACTCTATTTGGTTTACAAAGGGAGTGAACACCAAAAGCTGTCACTGACAACTAAAAAGGTTCATGGTTTAGACCTTGTTTGGTTTAAGCTTGATAAAGGCTCTGTCTGCCTTGGTGCCATGAGCCTTCGGTCCTTTTGCTCCCAACAGTTGGGCACAGAAGGCATTGGGGGCTGGAGTCCACGACAGGGACAGAGAAAGGAGTGTTCCTAAGAAGCCCTGTGCTCTCACCCAACCAGGGAACTGGCGGTCACCTGACAGGTACAGGAAACCTGGCTCCCCTTCCGCCCCCTTGCTTTGTCCCTCATCTTCCGCTGGCCAGGGAGTTAAGTGTTTGTGGGGCTGCGGTGTGCCGTGCAAACAGTGCAGAGGAGTGCAAGTCACCAGTGTGGGGACTCGGAACCTGTGTGTGGAGTGCGACAGGGGGCTGCTCCAGGGCCATCCTCGACAGCAGGAAGATGAGGTGGCAGTGACTGGAATCACAGGGTGGCCGGAACACTGCTTTAGACACAACCCTACCCAGAGTGCAGAATCTAGGCTGTATTCTTATTTTATGAGTCATCTTCACATAGCTTTTGATTTTAAATGTGGCTGAAATGCAGGGAAGGCAGTGTCCCCTCCCCTACACAGATCCAACTTGAAGCTGTGGTCTCTACCACATGAAAACCACTGCAAAGAATGTGGACAACAGATTCCTAGGTTTCACCCTGGAACCACCGAGTGCAAACTGCAAATGTTTGGGAGATTCCCATGCATGACTGATGAGAAAGCAGTGGTTCCTGGCTGTCTTGGGAGCCAGGGAAGGTAACAGCTCACCCGCACCTTCCATGCTCTGCTACATGAAACAAACCCACATCTAGAAAAGCACAGTCAGCAGGGGCTGCTGCGTTGAGGATTCTCAGTAGTGATAAGATGTAGTTGAGAAATCCAACCATGTCTTAAAAAACAAACAACAACAACAACAAAAACAATGGAAATGGATATAACCTCCCCTAAAATGGAGAAATGAAGCCAAACATTCCCGGTAGGAATCGTGGAAAGGTCCCTTCTAGAACACGTAAGAGCTCTGGTTAAGCAGATGGGATGGCCAGCTGCAGCAATCATGGCGTCCTGCTTGTGTGGTGGCCAGGCCAGTACCCGCAGTCTCAGGGTCCTTACACGGCAGACAGCTGCTGCTGCTGCTGCTTGGGTGGAGCGAGTGCCAGGAGGGCCTGCACCGTCACTGCAACCTGGCCCAAACCTTTCTCTTCTAAAATGTGGAGAGGCAAGCACAATTGCTCCTGAAATGGGACAACGTGACATAAAAACAAAAGAGAATATAAGGTAAACATCACAGAACTGAAAGGAAAAAATAAGCACTTCTCCCTGAGAATCACTAAATGAGATACGAAAAGTCAGTACTTAGGGAAGCTGACCTGTTAGTATGAGTTAGACAGAGATCACGTCTGACACTCACTGTCATTTTATTAACACAACTGAAGTACATACAGGTCATTTTGAAAATTAAAAAACTGACAAGTAGCGTACATTTATACATTCAACAGAGGAAGAATAGAATACTGTGGAGGAAAAGTAGCAATATACTTTTTTTTTTTTTGAGGTAGGTCTTGCTGTGTAGTTCAGGCTGTCTTTGAACTCACTACTGTGTAGCCCAGACTGGCCTGGAATTCTCGACAATCCTCCTGCATCAGCCTCCCAAGTGCTGGGGTCACAGGCATGCACCACCATGAGTGGCTAATGAATGTCCTTTTATCTTTGATAAATGACTAATGCACATGTCTAAAACAGGCAGGGGGAAAACACTCAAGTCACCAAGATGGTCCCAGTCTGCACACTAACACTAACCTTTGAGGGGAAAGAGCTCGAGAGGAAGGAACACACCACAGAAATACAGGGTGGGTTCGTGACATCACTGGGGTTTTCCTCAAAGGGGAAGTCCCTACCTGCCTCATCCTGCTGGTTCTGAAAACCAGATTTTCAGACCAAATAGGGGTCCCAGGAGGAACCTGAGTGTATCCTGAGCTTCTGAGATTTGGATGTATTTCAGAAACTTTCTCCGATTTAGGATAATTCATGGAAGGCCCAGTATAAATTAGTTAAAAACATGAACTGGAAAGTAAAAAAGAAATTATATTTTAAAAAGTATTTTATATTCTGCAATTGGTTGGACTAAGTTATGGTATTTTTTGTTTCTTTGTTACCGGGGATAGAACTTGGGACCTTGCCTTTGCAAGGCAGGTGGTGGAACCATTAAGCTAAATCCTGGGCCCTGATGGCCTATGTTATTCTGGAGAACTATTATGTCAGCTTACAAACATCTTAACTACCAATATGTCATAAGTTTTACATGTTTGCTTAAGTTAAATATATCTTGTTTGCCTAGTTGGCTTGCTTGATTAATCCTTTCTTGTAAGAGAAAAAGGGCAAGTCTTAAGTACAACATTTATCATTGGCTTTTCTGTTAAGACTGCATCAGAAAGAATTCTGGTTAAAAGAGATTTTTATATATATATGTATTAAGGACAGTAAGCGGATTTCTTTCTGCATCTCACTTGGCACTTATTGCCACACAATAAGTTTTACAAAACCAGTTGCAATAAAAATATAGCAGGTATTTATTTTTGAGGCAGTTTTTGGTACTTGTGCTTACTTTCCTTTTATTTAATAGCTATTTTCATAAAACAAAGTAACTTCTATCTTTTGACCCAATACAACTAGCAATTTTGTACTTTGAGTTCTACTTCAAATACAGACTCCCTCTAATGAAAATGAATGTGCCTGGCACTTTGCTTTCTGTAAGGCTGACTCCCCGGGCCCCCAGAGTGCCATGCCTGATCCCGTGGTGTGGTGCACAGTCCTCAGGCCTGTGCTTCCTAGGTGCACCTGAACCGTCCAGCTGGGCGGGAGGGACCACTGTATGTTTTCAGGAGAATGCACCACAACCACCCTAAGCCATACCTGACTCATGTTTTGTTTTGTTCTGGTACTGGGTATTGAACTTGGGACCTTGCACTTGTGAGGCAGGAAGCGGAACCACAGAGCTAAATCCCCGGCCTGCTTTGTTCTTATTTTTAAAATGAGAAAAAGCCCTCCAAAACTCTGAAAATTATCACTGACTCTCTAAGATATCTTAAAAATAAAACAAACCCAAACCCCCAAACTCTGGAAGGTACTACTGTATAAAACAGATGATCTTCTCCCTTTTCAGGACTGACTCCTGGACCCTCACACCACACTACACCCTTAGTCAGGCAGCTAGCCAGCCAACCAGACAGCCTTCCTTCCCTCCATGTTTATTTATGTATGTATGCATTTTTTTTTTTTTTTTAATTTAGAGACAGGGTCTTGCTAAATTACCTAGGCTGGCTTGAATTTGTGATCCTCTTGCCTCAGCCTCCCAGAGTGCTGGGATTATAGGCATGTGCCCCATGCTAAGCTTATTATAAAGTAGTTTTAAGCATTAAGTCCAGAAGCAAATACAGGAAGTAGTTTGAAAGGGATTGACAATATTCACTGCAGTGAGTACAGAACACAAACTGCAGTCTAATACTTAAACTACTACTGTTCAGATATAATCTTCCCAAGAGCCTATACAATACAAATTCACCTCTAATGATGGTTCAAATATATCAACATTATATAAATTCCAACTTTAAATTCTAAATAGGATTGTAGAAGTGAACTGCAGGAACAAACAAGTTCAGTCAATCTGGACAGGTACCTAAAGCTCACATGGGCCATGGGTTTCACATGTAATATGTAAACGTGTTTCCAAGGCTCAGAATGGCAGTCCACGGAATGCTTTAAGATGAACATCCTGACCAAATTAAAGCTATGAATACTAAATGGCCAGTGTCTTCCAAATGTCCGGACACCTTAGATGGACCTGTGCCTCCCAATGAAAAGCAAGCTCAGGATTGAGGCAGACAACTAAGTGACAAAGTATCCCTAACCAGAAAGGGCACCACACCTTTCTTCCGAGCAGCTGTTGAAGGGGTTTAAGCTGGGCTGAGGCACGGAGAAATGGTCAGGTGGGGATTTACTGTCACGTGGAAATAATAAAGTTTATATGTCACATTCTAAGTACAGATTCAGGATTGTATTAGTAGAAACGCTTCTGTATTTGTCGTAAGAAAAAGAAAGGTCACTTGAACAGGAGAGAAAGTGCTGGTGTTTTGCTAGTAATCATGAATGCTTATGGGCATGATGGGTTGCTCTTCTGGACCTCTGAGGAAAGGATTAAGATTTGTTCCTTGACACCAGAGGGAACAGCACACACGGAAATTATCTGCCTGAGAAACAAACCTCTACAAAGTGCAGGAATGTGGTGAAAAATCACAAGAATGCAGTCTTTCAGCTAGAGGGGAAGATCCAGGAATAAAGCATACAGAGAGTTAACATCAAAGTACAGTAAAATGCCACAAAACCCAGAAGCTGGATAGACAGAGAGACAAAACTGGATTCTTCTGAATGTGCCCCAAGAGAAAGTAGTGTTTCGACAGTTCTTTTAACGCTGAGGTTTAGCTGAAGGATGTCGGAAGGGGAACAAAGATTGTCCTGTCCAAAGTGTGAGCAGGAAAGGAAACAGAAAAACAAAGTCAGTGGATCAGAAATGCAGATTTGAGCACAGTTCAGTATGATCATTTCAATCACAGTAAAAAAATACACATCCTGCAACATTTTTATTAGGATAAATAAAAATACAATGCTGAAAAACAAAACGATTTCCTATGTGCAGACTGGTTTCAGTATGAGATCTGCTTGCTGGTGCCCAGTATGAACACTGACGACAGGAACAGAACTGGACGCTGGCTTAGCGGGGTGAGACAACCTCCTCCTCAATGCTCATTCTCTCTCACCAGTGCAGAAAGAACAGGCGGGGATAAAAATCAGGGACTGGGTGCATGGGAAGGTTAAAATGAGCACAGCCTCATCACCGGGAAATTCACCAGCTAGAAGCCCGATGTACTAAATGACGTAAGAGTTCTTGTAAAAATCAGATCAAGTCCACCTTAAGCAAGTCGAATTCACTAACAAAGGGAATGCAGAGTTGTAAGGGGCCTTAGCAATCATCCAAACTTGCCATTTATAGATTAAGCAATTCAATAAGCAAAAACATTACTGGACTTGATAAAAGGAATTTTTTTTGGAGACACGGTCTCACTATGCAGTTCAGGCTGAACTATGTAGCCCATGCTGGCCTCAACTCAAGGCAATCCTCCTGCCTCAACCTCCCAACTACTGGGATTAAAGGCATGAGACACCACATATGGCTGGAAAATATTCTTTACCACATAAACAAGATGCCAGACTCAAATACAAGTTTTATACTCCAAGAGAGCTCTTTTTAAAAAACACACCATGTTTAATAAAAGTATAAAAAGGAATACCCATCACAATAATAAAAGTAAATACTTACCTTCATATTTTTTTTTTGGTACCAGGGATCCAACTTGGGTCCTTGAGCTCGCAAAGCGAGGGGTGGAACCACTGAGCTAAATCCCTGGCCCTCATCATACATTTTTTAGTAGCCTTTTTTTTTTGGTACTGGGAATCAAACTCAAGACCTTGAGCTTGAGAGGCAGGCAGCAGAACCACTGAGCTAAATCCCTGGCCCAATAACTTGATTCAAGTGCTAATTTAATTCACATAACACTAAAAGTTACACCAAGAAGGACCAGGGATTTAGCACAGTGGTACTGTGCCTGCCTTCTAAACACAAGGTCCAGAGTTCGAACACTGGTACTTGAAAAAATAAATAAATAAATAAAATAAAATAAAAATTTTAGGGCTGGGTATTTGGCTCAGTGGTTCCACCACCTGCCTCGCAAGCACAAGGGCCCGAGCCCGGTACAGAAAAAAAAACAGTTATACCAAGGAAAGAAATTGCCTTCATTCATATTACCTGGGCACATCATAGATGAATATGTACAATACTGAATTTTCTGTTTTACATTTTCAAAAGTGATCATTTTACCCCCAATTTTCTTCTCAAACCAACAGGAAAAGTGGGGATCCTAAAGCAAAGGTTGTATGGAGGGGAGAGGAGAGAGTGGAGTCTGAGAGTGCAAGGTGGGACCTTCCAGCTGCACACTTGGAATATGTTCCTCCAACCTGTGTGGCAAATGGCTGGTGTTGCAGCAGAAGTGGCAGGATAACAGGAAGCCATCTCAACAGGTGGTGGCAGCGGCAGCGGTGGTGGTGGCAGGGACTTGGGTGGACAGCAGAAGGAGAGAAGGAAGAGGTGGCCTATGTGGGACGGTATTTCCTCTTTCTGGTAGGGGAGAGGAAGTGGGAGGCAGGCTGCATCCAGAACCCCAGTCTAACAACTCTGAAAAAAACTCAGTCTTCTAAAATTGTACTTTTCTATTTCTGTACTTGGCTTCAAGTAGCATAGTCCTGATAGAAACAGGTGGCTGGCCATACCACTGACTTAAGTGCATGCTTTTGTTTTGCTTTGTTTTGCTTTTTGGTACCGGGGATCGAACTCGGGTCCTTGCACTTGCAAGGCAGGCGACCGAACCGGTGAGCTGAATCCCCCACCCTAAGTGCATGTTTGAAGGTACACTGTTTTTGTATTTTGCTGATCACAGGAACATTCTCGAAGATTTCAGGTTAGGGACTTTCAATCTGAGAGAGGATAATTCTGTAAAACCCAGCATAATGTCTGCAAAGCTGACGAACAGTACTCTAAACGAGTACTGACAGGTCCAGTCAGCATACCTTGCTTCTTTTGGGATTCCCATTCCCTGCAGCCACCCATGCTGCATTCTCTTGACCAGAGCCACTGCGGTGTCCGTGTGAGCAGGGATGGCTTTGGAAGGAAGGGAGGGAGTGGGGAGAACTGGATGTTAATGTGCACACGCACATGTTAGAGCCTGTCTACTGATACGGTGAAAACGTAAGCTATAGAAGCCATATTAAATGCACTAGTAATACATTTAACATGGTTTGATGAGCCTTTACAAAACAATAATATAAAAATGAAAAGCCTGCTGTGAGTGTGTCTACAGAAATAAAAAAGGTCATTACTATCACTTTATATATTTCAATTCTTTTATAATTCAGGTTATAAAAAAAAAAGAAAAAGTGAAAATAAAGAATATAATGATTTTTCCTTAAGAAAAGGAGAAAACAACTGTGGGAATTCACACTGGCTAATGCGGATGCAACAGGGAGCTGGGCTCCTGCTCTTCTCTGTAACAGGAAAAGAGCAGACAGAAAAGGTTGCACACTGGGCAAGTGATTCCCTGGCCTTCTGGGCCCCTGGGTAGCAAGAAGTGAGAGCCGGGCACGGTGGTGCATGCCTGTAATCCCAGCACTTGGGAGGCTGAGGCAGGAGGATTGCTGTGAGTTCAAGACCAGCCTGGGCTACACAGTGAGTTCCAGGTCAGTCTCAACTACGTAGTGAGACCGTGTCTCAAAAAAAACAAAAACAAAAACAAAAAAGAAGTGAGCCAGGTGAAGAGGGCTTCACTCTGAGAGAAACACTGGCAAGCCAAGGGCCAATCCCAGTCTCTGACAGCTAATCAAGGTGACAGAAGAGTCATGCTTTTGTGCTTTGCAGGTTGGACAAAATTTAAGAATTGCAGGGGTTGGGGATGTGGCATTGTGGTGAAGCACGTGCTTAGCATGCAAAAAGAAGGAAGTCATATGGCACCATACTGTTCATTTCTTTAGATTCACTGATGTACCACATCATAAATATAATAGTCCCAGAGTATATGCTTGGTTCATTTCAAACTGCTTTTTAAAAAGAGTAACTGAACAAAGTATACCCAGTTCATTTTCCTAATCACACCTATAAATAAATTTAACTATTTACTCTAAGGGCAAGAATATTATAACTGAGGAACTTGATGGTAATAAATCCTTAGAACAGAACTGGTGCTTAGAAAGGGCCTCTAGTGTGTTATACTCCAAAGTACTAAAGCTCAGTGGAAAAACTAGTGGAATCTGAATGAAGTCTATAATTTAGTTAATAGTATTACTGTTCTAGCGTCATCTAGTTTGGACAACTACTATGTATATATTAGATGTTAATATTAAACAAAATTTGGCAAAATAGACATAGCAATTCTCTACGCTAGTTCTGTAATATTTCTAACAGTTGAAGATTATTTAAAAATTAACTTTAAGAGGTACTAAAGCAAGTGTTAAAAAACAGAAGCAAACTGAAGCATCCCAGTTTGAGATGTATTCATGTTGGAGGATGCTGTTGTGCATGTCATTATACATAAGTCAAAGGGTAGAGATGTTCAAGAAAATAGAATATTTCTTTTAGATACTTATTTAAATTTATATGTTTGCAATTTCTTGGTGAGGTCCTTGGTATATGAAAAACAATCAAAAGAATACTGATTGAGTCTCACAATCTAACATCATGTTTTGTTTTTTATTTTTGGTACCAGGGACTGAACTCGGGACCTTGTGCTTGTGAGGCAGGCAGTAGAACCACTGAGCTAAATCCCCAGCCCTAACATCATGTTATTGATGATCATCTTAGTTCAGAAGTACTACACCATGATTCTAGAGAATTGCATTTCTGATAAATTTTAGGATAATCATACTTAAATCTTTTAGGGAACACAAAAAAAATGCTAAACATATTACCTGAGGTACACCAATCTTTCTGCATGCTTCTAGGAAATTCTCCACATTTCGCCTGCATTTTGCCATTGTTAATTTAGGCTGCAATGAGAAAAGGAAGGGGACAAAGAATGGTGTTACCAGCAAAGGTCTATAAAATGTACTAACTGCTTTGCGTGGTAGTGCATGCCTGTGATGGCAGCACTAGGAAGGCTGAGGCAGGAGGAATGTAAGTTCAAGGCCAGCCTGGGAAAACATAGCAAGTTCAAGACCTGCCTGGACTACACAGTGAGACACTAGTTTAAAAAAAAAAAGGGCTAATTTTAAAAGCATTCTTGCTAGTTGCTACATGCTCACAATGCTGAAGACTAGGGGGTTAGTAAAGTTTTCCTCAAAGGGTCTGGAGATAAATGTTAGTCTTGAGAGCCACAAAACTGGCAACAGCTCACCACTGCTTGATGCTTGAAAGCAGACACAGACAATGTGCACACACACAAGGACGGCTGTGCTCCAGGAGCACTTCACACACAGAAACGGGCTACCTGTGGGGAGAAGTCTGCCGCCTCACCCCTCGACTGAGATATCTCACTTTGGTTTTACAAGTGAGTGCTGCACAGAGAAGCTTTGGAGGGATAAAGGATTTTTGTGTGGGGTTTCCCCCCCGCATTTTAAAACAATATACACTAAAGAGAATTTGGAAGAACGGAATTAATTCCCCGCAGCTCATCTTTTGTCTATTACCACAATTAACACTTGGTTCACTTTCTTCTGATATAATTTAAAGATTTTTTTTTAAAAAAAAAAACAGTAACATTTAGTCGGGCATGGTGGCACATGCCTGTAATCCCAGCACTCAGGAGGCTGAGGCAGGAGGATTGCTGTGAGTTCGAGACCAGCCTGAGCTCCATAGTTAGTTCCAGGTCAGTCTCAACTACATAGTGAGACCCTGTCTCAAAACAAAAACAAAAACAAAACAAAACAAAACAAAAAATTAAAAACTGTGACATTTGCTTATACATATATTACAGAGGCATTACGTCTTTATTCATTGGCAACAGTTAAAATTTTAAGAACATTTATTTATTTAAAGATCTGGGATCACCTAACTTGCCAGTTCTCAAAGAGGCACAATTGGGCTGGGGATTTAGCTCAGTGGTGCTGTTGCCTGCCTTGCAAGCACAAGGTTCTGAGTTCAATCCCCAGTACTATAAAAAAAAAAGGAAGATTTAGCTCTGGTGCTGTTGCCCCCGCCTCAAGCACAAGGTTCTGAGTTCAATCCCCAGTACTATAAAAAAAAAAGGAAACTGAAAGAAGCACATTAAATTAACGTGTATGAATGTGGCCACAAAGAAACTGATATGGTTTTTCATTTTATGGCTTTCATTTGTAACTTCATCGCAAAAATAATTCTACTATTAAATAAATAATGAAGTTCACCAAATGGTCATAAGAACAAAACAAGGGAAGAAACACTACTGTGAGGAAGAACAATTTATATGAAGGAAAAAGACATGCAAATATTCATCTTGAAATCTAATACTATATCAGAAACACCATTAGCACAATATTGATTTGTCATAACCACAATTTGAAAGCAGGGTTGTTTCCCTGTTTTTGCTTTTAACTTAAATAGGGGAAGATGCTCATCAGGTAAATGAAAAGTATATTTCCCCATCCCATAAAGCAACACTTCGGGAAGTTTTACATATTTGCACGTATCTTTTTAACTTTATCACCCAAAGATCTTGTCCTAACTAGCACACACATGCAGTCCCATCCACTGAGGACTGCTTCAGCACAGGAGGTTTTTTCCTCCTACAAATCCCCAAAACCAAAAAAATCCCTCTTACTTTGCTGTCATAGTACTTGCTTTTATTTTTAAAAATTATTTCTTTATTTTGGAAAAAGGGTCTTGCTTTGTAGTTCAGGCTGACCTTGAACTCACTCACAGCAATCTTCCCGCCTCCCCTTCCTGAGTATTGAGATTACAGGTGTGCACCACCAAGACCAGCATCTGGGCAGCTTTCTTCCAGTGTTACAGCATCTCATCTCTCCATCTGTTACTTAACAGGTAGAGTCGTCACTGTAAACTGTGATTATAATCATACTATTCCCCTCCTTAAATCTTTTCAGTGTTTCCTTATCATCTATACTAGGACAACTTCCAAGTCCTTGACATGCTCCTAAGACCCTGGTAACACGGCCTCTGGTTTCCTTCTGCAGCTTCATCCATTGCTGTTTGCACCCATACTCTGTGCAAGATCCATTCTGAACAACTTAACAATTCCTTGAATATGCTGAGACCTCCCCTTTCCCAAGGCCTCGTTCATGAAAGAAAAGAGCTCTACCAAGCTTCACTCCAGTTTCTTCCTTAGTTGCGGAATCCAGGAATGCAATGCTTAGACTGCCTTCTTTTTTCCTCTTCCTCTGCCTTGCTGGCAAATTATTGCTCAAACTTTAAGACTCAGTTCATATTTTACCTTTCAGTTAAAGCTTTCCTGAACTCTGGAGGCAGAGTTAACTGGTCCCTTTAACGCCTATCTACAGCACACCTCTCACACACTCTACTGTAACATTTATCATACCAATATAAATTATTGTTTCCATGTCTTTTTTTCTCTAGTAGAAATTGGACCAAGAAGGCTGAGAATGGACACTTTAAATCTGCATCCCTAAAATCCAGCACAACGACTGCCAACTGTTCAATAAAAGTCTGCTAAACAGCTGATGCTTTTTAGCATTAAAAACGTACCACAGCTGGTGAAGGAACATGAATGCTTGGGACAGATCGAGGCCGCACATGATTGGCCAAATGGCAAAGAACAACACCATCAGTTAGAGCCGCTCCAAGGTCACAAGGCAGAGAGACTTTTAACCGGTACTCAATGTGCTGAAACAGGAAAATACATAATATATTCACTGAAGAGCAATTAACACACAAGACATAATGGTGTTACAACAGAAAACATTTAACTAGAAATCAAGATAAAGTTTAAAGAAAAAAGGAAATAAGTACCACACACTCTATTTTATCCTTGTCTCCCCGGTCAATAACTTAAGGAGATACAATATATATGTATGGCAGCCAGACTGCATACAACGCAAGTACAACAGAATTTCAGAGACGATCTTCTAGTTATAAAGAAAAAGAAAAAAATGCCGGGCATGGTGGTGCATGCAACAGGGGGACTGAGGCAAGAGAATCTTGAGGGTGGCCTGAGCTACATAGTGAGACCCTATCTTAAAAAAAAACAATCCCCCCCCAAAAAAAAGAAAGAAGAAGAGGAAGAAGAGGAAGAAGAGAAGGGGGAGGGAGAATAGGGAAGAAGAAGGAGAAAACAATCTGGATCCTTTCAGGTCCAAAATAAAATGGCAAACCTCATACTATAAAGTATGGTATGTGTGTGTCTATTATGTACATGATATTATGACTCAAAATTTCTTTGTAACTTGAAGCAGGAAGGAAACAAAAAAATTTAAATGTGCAGAGCTGGGAATTGAGCTTTTAGAATAATCCATCTCATTTTCTTAGTAAAAAGTTGAAAAGAATTTCCTTAATAACAAAATTTCTTTCACTTTCACCACAAAATGGAAATTGTTTTTGGTGCCACAGACTGAATCCAGCGCCTCTCACATGCTGGGCAAGTGCTCTACATCCCTAGCCCTTTAAAATTTTTATTTTATTTTAGGACTGGGGATTGAACTTAGGCCCTTGCGCTTGCAAAACAGGCAGCGGAACCACTGACCCAAATCCCTGGCCCTGAAAATTTTATTTTAGAGAGGACCTCATTAAGTTATTAAATTGCCCAAGGCTGGCCTTGAACTTCTGATCTTCCTGCCTCAGCCTCCCAAGCAGCTGGGATTATAGGCATGAACTACCACATCTAGCTTGACACTTACTGGTTCTATAAAAATTGTATATCAGATGCACAAGTGATTACAGGAATATGGACTACAGCAGTAACACTTTAAGTGCCAATCAGAGGTAATATACCCACTTTCCGTAGCTGATCTATTAATTTCAGCTCTTCTTCTCTCTGTCTTGTGATGCATTCTGTAGAATGTGTGGCAGGTGCAGGAGATGAGAGAAGGGAGGGAGTATGACCTACAGAGAGAATAATATATAACAGAGAAAGGTGACTGTGGTGCTAGTGAAGTACCCACATCCAGCCCAGATGCAGTTTCCTTAAACGTACAGCAATGCTGACTTTGTGGCATGACTTTGTAAAGGAGGTCTTTATTATAGAAATTAAAAAATACATGCAATAATGGCAAAAGAAAATAACTAATTAATTTCCATAATCCACTGGATTAACTGCCTTTGCTTCAAAATATCCATTTAAAAATGTTTTTATTGAAAATAACATACAAACAGAAAATTACACAAATGATAAAACACAGAGCTCTGTCACTGGGCTACCCAACCATTTTTATTTTGATGTAGGATCTTGTTATGTTGCCCAGGCTGTCTTCAAACTTTCAATCCTCCTGCTTCAGCCTCCTGAGTAGCTGGGATTACAGGCACGTAATACCATGGCTGGCTTCTAAGTTTTCTTATCAAAGTAAATTCAAGCAAGGTGCTCAGTGTCAGTGAGATGACAGACATCCGCACTTTAAAGCCTTTGTGAAGGCTATCCCTTGGTAGAGAAGTGTGGAAGTGGTAACAGTCAATTTCATTGTATTAGGCCACCCCCAACAACACACTGTCCCACCTTTTAAAATCACTGACACCTACCTTTATTTGTTTCTGCCCTGACGGTTCCTCGGAAAAGAAAGCTCTCGGGGCGCGGAGGCTGATTTCTCTGGGTGGCACCAGGAAAAGAATATGTGGAATGATGAACTAAGTCAGCATGGAACAGCAAGATGTGATTAAAGGAGATGGAAAGCAAATTAAATATAATATAGACACATAAAGACAAAATCAAATCAAACATGCTAATGATAAAAAATGATAATTCTCTTTATTAACGAAAAGTGTGGTATAGGAAAGTAATACTCAAAGCAGGGAGGTTGTGTGTTTATTTTTTTTAAACACCAGGGATCAAACTCGGGACCCTGTACTTGCAAGACAGGCAGCGGAAGCACTGAGCTAAATCACCCAGGAGCCTGCGTTTTCTTTCTTCTTCTTTTTTTTTTGGTACCGGGGATAGAACTTGGGTCCTTGTGCTTGAGAGACAGACAGCAGTACCACTGAGCTAAATCCCTGGCCCATGTGTTTTCAATTCTGAAGTTATTTCTAGTGTATCAAGAGATGTTCATATGTTGAACACAGTCTCTTGCAAATCCCTTCTAGTTTATGTTCATTTGTCCTTATTAAATGGCTAAGTGGTTGTTCAACTAGCTAATTTTTATTTTATTTTTGGTAATGAGGATCAAACTCAGGACTTTGCACTACCATGGCAGGAGGCAGAACCACTGAGATAAATCCCCAACAAGGTAACTTTTAAAAAGAAAAGTGTTTAGAACATTTCTGATTTGGTGTTCAATATCCATTCCAAAAATGAAGACATAGTTCTCTAAGAAGTAACTGAGCAAGAAAGTCCTGCTAGAGAATTATTTTCTTGACATATTTATTTGTACCTTTGTGTCTATTACCTGTTTCCACGGTAGGTGAACTTGATGTAGCATTAGGTTTGTCATCACTCTGCAGAGGAACAGAAATGTATCAAGAGTTATAATCTAGGAACAGATACTTTCCACATTTATGGCAACTCTGAGACTATGAAAGCAAAAGAAACCCATCCAACTCTCCTTAAAAATTATGTCTAGAAATGAAAATTTGGTGAAATGAACTAATTTTGCACAATGTTTTTAAATATAAACTTTTTACTCAGTTGTGTTACAGATGCATTCCCTGAAGATAGCCCTATTATCTTACAGGCTTTTCCAAAGACTCTGAAACATGATCATCCTAAGGCAGAAAATTCTACGGAAAAATAACAAAAATTTTCTAATAGTATTTCTGTGTTTCTAAAGTATTTTTTTCTCCAGAAGGTAAAATTTAATTTTTTAAGAGTTATGCAGGTTTTCATTTCAATTAGTAAAACATGTGTTTAAGAGATAATACATGTAATTTCTATAGTATTTGAGTCTAAGATGTTTTCATTGGGGAAAAGAACTTTAAAAAGGGGGAAGAAATAGCTAAACAGGTTTAAAGTTTACCCAAAAAGGGAAAATATAGTTAAGCAAATGTGAAATGTTTGTTGGTTAGATTAAAGGTGTTGAAGACTTGGCAGGGCAGAGGAATCAAGAAAGGCCTTGATGATTAATTAAATTTAAATATAACTTTTGAAATGATAACTAAGACATTTCTGAACTAAGAATGACTTTAAAACTAACATATACACATACATCTATTCCCATGTTCTTCTCTACTTCGGTTTCAATAGTTTCAAAAATTGTCTTCAAATAGGATAATGCTTCTGAGAAAATTTTTTCCAGTTATAATTTAGTTTAGTTTAAAACTAGTGGGCCTCAATCAAGATTGTAATAAAAACTTAAGTCTCAGGTGTTGGGGAAAAAAAATGAAAATTTAAATAAGAAATTGAATTTAAAACAAAACTAACAGAAACTAGTAAAAAAAAATCAACAGGCAAATGAGGCAAAAGCTGGCTATCTTTACAAGGAAACAAAAGACTACCCTGATTTCACGCTGGTACAGACAAACCCATCGAAGGTAGAGATCCTTATTCTAGATCAAAGGAAAAGTATCTTTTAAAATTTAAAGTCTTATTTATAGTACAGAAGTCAGAAATTTAAGTAAGGTATGGTAAGGAATAAAAGGAGAAAGGCGAATATAAAGGCAGACTTAGTACATGAGAAGAGCTGAGACAAGTGACAGTAAGGGCAAGAGCCCCTGACCTCCCAAACCAGCTGCGGAGCCTGCACAACACAATCAGCATGAGGAAAACAGTCAGAATGGCAGGGACTTGTAAATGATGATTTTAAAAATATACTTTTACTGAAAGAAATTATAAATCTTAGTGACTTGTATTCTAGGACACTAAATTAGTTCAGATCACTCTGGGACTATTTAACTGTATTTGGGGATTCTCTGAGAACTACAGAGCAAAAAACGATTACAGAATAATCTCAGAAATTGATATGAATTCAACTTTTTCTTTTCTTTTTTTTTTTGTACTGGGGATCAAACTTGGGTCCTAGCACTTGCAAAGAAGGCGCTGGAACCACTAAGCTAAATCCCCAGCCCTGAATTCAACTTTTAAGCCTGGCTGAGCAACAAAAGAAACAAAACTGGGCTGGGGATTTAGCTCAGTGGTTCTGCTGCCTACCTTCTCTGCAAGCACAAGGTCCCAAGTTTGATCCCTGGTACAAAGAAAAAAAAAAAGAAAGAAAGAAAAGAAACAAAATCATGCATAATATACAGTGTATAACTGCTGCAAAAGTAAAGATAAAATTTGAAAACCAATTATCTGCCTGGTTAGAAGGTCTGATAGAAGGAAAGTGAGATAACATCTATCTCAAATTTAGTAAAGTTGCAGACTTAATTTCACATAAGAATCACTTTTTATAGAGAAAATATGATTCTGATCCCACAACTTTATTTTATTTTTTGGTATAGGGGATCAAACTCAGTATCTTACACTTGGGAGGCAGGTGGCGGCACCACTGAGCCTAAATCACTGGCCCCTGATCCCACAACTTTTGCCACATTCATATCCAGCTTTTTTTTTTGTGTGTGGTACCAGGGATCAAATTTGGGACCTTGAGCTTGCGAAGCAGGCAGTGGAACCACTGAGCTAAATCCCCAGCCCCAGCCTTTCTTAACTGTGACTTTGAGACAGAGTAAGTCCCAATGTCCAAAGTCTCCCTTGAGATAATTAATCCACTTCTCTTCTACATGAAGAGAATATAATACTAGCTGTATACCTGCACTTCTCCCTAAAAAACTCAGATTCTTGAGAGAGTTCTGAAAACAAACTGTTCAAATAATTTTCTTTCTTTCCTTTTTTTAAGAGTTTAAACTACATAGTCCAGGCTGGGGATTGAGCTCAGTGGTTCCAACTCCTGCCTCAGAAGCACAAGGATCCAAGTTTGATAGCCGGTATCAAAACAAACACACACACAAACAAACAAAAACTATGTAGTCCAGGCTGGCCTTGAACTCACTATGAAGCCCAGGCTGGTCTCAAACTCATATTCTCCTGCCTCAGCCTCCTGAATGCTGGTTTTAGAGGCATGCACTAATATACCTGGTTGTTGAAATAATTTTCTGTTTTGTACAAGGGCACCAACTGAAAAAGGCTAGCAAAGGTTACCATGGAAGAGAATTACAGACAAAATTTTCCAGTAATCATCTCGGTATACACAGCACTTTCAATAACTGATCAGAGAAAAGGTTTATCAGGTTAACAGACTTATAAAGTTGAGGGGTTGTCATGATATAAGAATTTGAAAGTATTCTAGTAAATTGGAAAAGTAAAAATGTTCAAACAGCAAAATTAAATATTCAGGAAAAACAAAAAATACAAGATGCAGAAATCTTGGAGTACAACAAGGACATTGAGAATTATAGTAGATACTGAAGAAAGCAAACATCACTAACTGGAAAAGGCAACCAAAACTAACATGCAAAGTACGACATGTGAAAATCCAGGCAGGCCCAGAGCCAGGTAGGTTCTGTTGGATTGTGTTTCTAGTTGTGGAAAGGGAGAGCAGGGTACTTGTGCAAGGTCCCAAGTTTGATCTCTGGTACCAAAACGAACAAACACCCCCCAAAACAGGTGGTCCACACCCCTAGTTGGCTGACTCTTACTGTGGAGGGTTGGGCAGTGCTAGTTCTAGACTGAGATTCATTATTCTCTATGCATATTAGACAACAGAGTTAATTTGATATTATGTATTAACCACAGTAAAATAAACTTTATGACTAAACTTCATGACTAAAAATATAAACTTGAACAACAAAATGAGAATGACATCTCAAACAAAATCTGAATATATGGACTTAACGCAGTCTCTATGACTATATCTATCATGATATAATGTTTAAAAAATTTTGTAGACCAGAGATTTAGCTCAGTCTGCCTCATAAGCATAAGGTCCTGAGTTCGATCCCAACTAACTCAGTTTGATAAGCATATGTATGTATGTACGTATTGGTTTTTTGGGGGGGCTTTTTTGAAACAAGGTCTTGCCATATAGTTTAGACCAATCTTGAACTCACTATGTAGCCCAGGCTAGCCTCAAACTCAAGAGATCCTCCTGACTCAGCCTCCCGAATGATGGGATTATAGGTGTATACTACCACACCCAGCAGCATATGTATATTTCATGCAATCCTAGATTTCATTTTCAACTTTATTTTTTTTGGTACCAGGAATTGAACTCAGGTCCTTGTGCTTGCAAGGCAGGCGGTAGCATCACTGAGCTAATCCCGAGCCCTAAATCCTAGATTTCAGATTGCTATAAAACCAAACCACTGGGAAATTTAAAGCCTATCTTGTACATTCCCTCCCCAAATTTCCTGGACAATTAATGTAACAAGAGATACCTTAAGAGGCATGAAGGCAGCAGAATGAGGCAGGGTAACAGCACAGTCCACTTGATTCAACCCTGACAGTGACTAAATTTCAAGAGAGGAAGAAAAGAAACAGAAGGCAGCATTTAGGCTAGCAAAATGTTAAGTAGGCCTACATGATAATGAAACTAGAAAAGGAAAGGTCACTGACAAATTTTCAAATATTTACTAAGACAGACAATATTTGGGGGAAATATTTACACAACATAGTTTTTCCACATGTATAATTCAGGTTATTTGCAATATCCCATAAGATATCAGTCAGTAATTGAGTCATCATTTAATGATTTTTATATACAAATAAACCTGAAAAAAAGAGAAATAAACCTGAGAACATTATCACTTTTAGCAAAATACCTTTGAAACTATGGAGTCCTCTGTAGTCCCTATAATGGGAAACAATTTTAGTCAAAGAGCTCATTTTAACTGAGCAGAGCTGGGGTGAATCAGAACAGCATTATTCAATATTAATCCAAATTAGATTGGCTGTAATCCAACTCAAGGCTCTGCTGGTTAGGACAGGACAGGACAAACCTACATCACACCTAAGGATGAAATTAGCATTTCATATAGAAGGAAAAAATGGAAACAAAGATTTTGTACACAGAGAGGGGAGGGGGCTTGAGGGGAGAGGGGAGTGGGAAAAAAAGAGACAGGAAGTTTCTTCTACAGGTGCAAATTTCCTAAGATCAGTGTTATCACTATGTATGTCTAAAATGTACCAATAAATGTTTTGCCCCCCCCAAAATTAGCATTTCTGCCTCTGTGGATTTCCAAATGACCGTGAGAGTAAGGCAGAATTCCCCTTTTCTTAGAATCTTTTGTCTTTCACAAACACAGTGAAGGGGAAAGGGAAGAGATGGGAAGAAGGGAGGAGGCAGGGGTATAAGGGAGGGTAACGGGAATGGGTTTGATCAAAATGTTATATGCATATATAAAAATGCCACACTGAAAGCTAACATTTTATAAAATTAATATGAATTAATAAAAATTATAAAAAACCAAAAAGATACAGTGAAAACATAAACTTGATTTGAGGCTAGGAGGACATGGAGAAGTCACTCTGAAGATGAGACATTTAAGCAGTCTGTAACTGCTGAGTGAGCATCGACCGGTGTCTCTGTGGGAAGGAGAGGCTGTGCACAGGGGCAGCACTGGCAAATGTTCTGTGGTGGGAAAGGACTGGACTATCTGGGGAGGGAAAAATGCTGGTGGAGCAAGTCCAGAGATGAGACTGGAAAGGTGGGTGCAGCTAGAGCTTGAAAAAGCTTCGAAGCCACGGAAGAGGTTTAGAAGAGGAGCAACATGAAGCCTTTGAAGAGTAGTTCCGAGTAGGTCAGAAACAGAATCTAAAATAGGATTCTCTGCCTAGTGTTGGTTGGACACTATTTGGCATACAAAGAAATACAAGATATGTTTTTTAAAGGCCATCCAATTTAGATAAACATTTTGCTTTTAAAGACAATTTAACTTAGGAGGCCAGACATGAATACTTTCAACTAAAATACAAGTGTAATTTTTTGTAGGGGGGATACTGGGGATTGAACTCACATCCTTGTGCTCGTGAGGCAGGTGCAGTGCCATTGAGCTAAATCCCTGGCCCAGGTGTAACTTTTTGGTAAATGGCTGAAGGTTATTTCAAATTTCATGCTAAGGAGACTTTGCTGTTGTCTTTCCAAACTCTACTTTTTCTTCCATAAACTAGTCCGGTTACAGTATGGAAGGTGATACAGTACAGCTTGTGTCTATTGCAGGTCCTACGCCAGCCAGATCTAGATCTACCTACATGGCCTTGCCAAGATACTTTCTATCTCAGTAATCATCTGCAGAACGGTGATCATTTTAATTTTAACTTTTTTTTTTTTTGGTACTGGGGATCAAACTCAGGACCTTGCACTTGTGAGGCAGGCATAGTGTCACTGAGCTAAATCTCCAGCCCTTTAATTTTAACTCTTAAATTTGCCTTGAGAAGTAAGATACTTTTGTGTCTAGATCATCAGAGGCCCTATTTCCTTACATGAATTTAAAGTATTTTTGACTTCTCATGCCAATTAACTCCCATTAAAACTCCAGATTCCAGGGGTTGTCATCTTTTTTTTTCTTTTGGTACCAGGGACTGAACTCAGATCTTGCACTTGCGTAGCAGTGGTAAAACCACTGAGCTACAACCCTGGCCCCTGGGGGTTGTCATTTTTAAGACTGCCCAATTAAAATGTGCTTTATCTATCTCAAAGAAAATGAAACTTGCAAAGTACACAGACATTTTAATAGACAATAGGAATTTGCCTAGCAGGAATCTGATAGTCAAGGCATGCGACTCACGTGGTACACGCACAGCAGCTTTTCTAGCACGTAACACAGGATTTGCTGCAGACACTAAGATTTTTTAATTGCTAGGTTTTGATATTACCATGAAACTAATAGCATAAAACAAGATGGGAAAATAAATTCTACAAATGGGAGAATTTTCTTGAAAGGCTAATAAAAATTAAGACTTTAAATAAAGCTTCATGTTACAGTAATTTTCAGTTGGTGAAAAAGGCCATAAAAAGTAAACCAATGTTAGCTGGGTATGTGCCTGTATTCCAGCACTTGATTTTGGGATTTTTAGCAGCTTATAAAATAAGATGCCAAATGTAAAGTTGTATAATTAGTGCCATGGAGTATGGGACCCCATTTATCACACAGGTGACTCATGAGCCAAATTAAGAATAAAGTGTACCTGGGCCGGGGATTTAGCTCAGTGGTTCCGCCACCCGCCTCACAAGCACAAAAAAAAAAAAAAAAAAAAAAAAAAAAAAAAAAAAGATTTCTAAGAATAAACTGCACCTGGAATGAGAAGTTGTTTAAAAGGCTGATAAAGTTTTACGACTCTGGGCCAGGGATGCAGCTCAGTGGCGCCACACCTGCCTGGCAAGTGTAAGGTCGTGAGTTCGATGGGTAGGGGAAAGGGGCTAGTGTGTTACACCTTGCACAGACAAAGCCAATACAGTTCATAATGCAAATGATTTTTCTTGGGAAGCACCACAGAGACTGTGAATCCCAGCTGCAGCCCTTGAGCACCAGGTACATGAATGGCAAGAAAAGGACACGGTCTGGCTCCTACAAAACTTTCAGCAGTGACACTCATAATGTTTTATGGTATTTATATGGTATTTATAGCTGCTCTTCAATCTCCAGACACAGCGATGTAGAACTTCGTTTTTCATAAATCTTACCACTAACAAGGCACTATCATCAGTGTGCTGAGACCTTCTGGGTGGGAAGGGACACTGGAGAGGTGGAGAAAAATGAAGCAATGTCAAAAGCGAACTATGCACGCAAGTGATGCATTTCAAACAAACACACATGAGGACAGAGATATATTAAGGCACATTTTGGAAGATGCTGACACAAGGACCACATTCACAATCATCTGAATTAATGTACTGCAACTGCCAATAAGTTAATTCTGGGCCCTGATTTTCTTCCAAAGAGTTTAAACAACTTCAAATATGATCTTACTGCCTAAAAATCTTCTGAAGCAATGTTGAAATTGACAGAAAACAATGTTTTTATGTATTTGTTAAAGAAATCAGAATATAAATTGAAAAAAATTATAAGGTAAAAATAAAGAAAAATGGTCAATTAAAAAGTCAACTATAATAAAAATCATTTAGTAAGCTTCATTTCTACAGACCAAAGTAAATGCATAATTTTTAAAGGTTAAGCAATTAATGTTACACATTTATTCATAATGAAATGTACAGCCATATATATCTATGTATATATATATATTTTTTTTTTTTTTTTTTGAGACAGGGTCGCACTATGCAGTCTACGATGGCCTTGAACTCAGCAGTCCTGCTCAGCCGCCTAAGTGCTGAGATTAACAGATGTGTGCCATTGTGCTCAGCACTGCCTAATATTATAAAACTAATGTGCACAGACTTTAATTGATAACACCGAAATAACTACTGAAGGTGAAATCCCAGGGTCTTTTATTTAACAGCAACACCAGTCACCACATGAGATGCATGTCTTAGAATTCTCTCTCGTGACCTGGACACTGCAATAGGTGAGAAGGGCCCATGTGGCCAGCCGAGCCAGGGAGAGTGAGAGACTCTGGGAAGGGTATGTGGGCAGATGTGATGGAATCCTGACTCACAGCCTCACAGCTTTTTCTTTTTTCTTTTTTTTTTTTTTTTTTTGAGACAGTCTCACTATGTAGTTTGGGATAGCCTTGAACTCACTACGTAGCCCAGGCTGGCCTTAAATTCATGGTGATTCTCCTACCTCAGCCTCCTGAGTGCTAGGATTATCAGCCAGACCTCTGGCTTCTGACACAACTCTCCGGCTTACATCATCTTTTCTTTGTGAGTAGAATTTTGTGATGGAAAAATATGGCAATATTCTGACCACTGAAAACAGGATACTCACAAGCACATTTCACTTCCATGGGAAAAATAATAAATTCCAAAGAAAAGGTGATTACACAGACTTACCTCACTATCCATCGGGGATTGCTGTTTTTGTGGACTCTGTGATGCTTTTTGCTAGATCCCCCAAAGCCCCCCCCAAAAGGGAAGTTGGTTAGAATCTAGGACACTAAAAATGATAAATTTTTACTAATCACACTCATTTCTTAATTTCTTAAATATAACACTTTTCTAGATTTACTACTTAAGATGCAGTAAGGACAGTATGCTACAATTTGCCTTAAATACAGTGTGTTACAATTTTTAAAAAATTTAAATTCCACAACCATACCACTGAATATTTTAAATGTGTGTGTGTGTGTGACAAGATCTTGCTTTGTAGCTGAGGATGACCTCGAACTCACTATGTAGCCTAGGCTGGACTCAAACTCCCAGTGATCTTCCTGCCCTAGCCTCCCAAGTGCTAGGATTACAGGTGTGCGTCACCACTGCCAACCTGCATCACTGTATTTCTATAAGCATTTATAAGCAGACATTTTAAAAAGCTTGTATGTATACCTACATACACATCAACTGAACTCTCCCTGTATTTTCTCAATGAACTCATTCTCTCTAACCAGTTTAAATACCATTCTATAGCTGATAGCTCTAGCTTTGTATCTGAGTCTCAGGTATTCTCAACAGCCCGTACAAACACCTAGGTGGAAACCCCACTAACAATCTGCATTCAATGTCCAACCTGACGTTGTAGTCAGTGTTTTCTCTTTTTTTCCTTTATTGGCTGCGATGTGTAATAAGTACACTCCTCCTGGACAAGTGGAACATACACAAAGCAATCTTCATCATTTTCACTTCCCCTTCCCTTCCTGGCCCTTCTCTGCCCCTGCCCCATCCTTAGATCTCCTTTCCCATACAAAACCCACCTCCCTGTCTCCTTCCTCTGTGAAATAAATACCATAGTCACATTCGCTTAGGGATGAACTGAGAAGAGAGGATGTGGGACAAATACAAGGTCACAAAGTTGATAAGTAGCAGAACTGAGATTTATACCTGTGTCCTGACACCAATTCTACATTCTTCCCACAATGTTAGACTCACAGCAGCTACCATACTAGTATTATTAGGAACACATATAATAATTCTTCAAGTAGTTAGTATTTAATTTGTTTTTTCTTTTTGAGACAGGGTCTCCCTATGAGGTCGAGACTGACCTGGTACTCACGATGTAGTACAGACTGGTCTCGAACTCACAGTGATCCTCCTGCCTCAGCCTCCCAAGTGCTGGGATTACAGGTGTGTGCCACCATGCCCGGCTTAATATTTAATTGTTAAATAGGGTACATATAAGGAGACTCAAGGCACAAAATAGCTCCATAATTTTTGGAAAATCAAGTACACAGTGAGTGGGAAAGGTGGATTAAAATTCAGATTATTTCTGACTCCCAGCTCCTGCCACTGTTGCAACACTACCAGCCCTTTGGCATTTTAGGAGTCATCCAGTTCAAGGCCTTTATTTTGCAGCATTGTCTTATTACTGCAATTACTTTCTGTTCTACTTTGCTCCTTCCTGTCTCTTTCTTCCTAGACTACTTTTGATGAAGTATCTCTTCCCCTGTTTTCTCCTACTTAAAAACTTGTTTCTTATGCCTAACAGATCAAGATCACTCTAATCTAACATACATCATGAATGTCTACAGGGTAAGTAGCTCTTACTAGCTAGGGAACTTCTACAAAGGCAAGCTAAATATTAACTTAGGTGAAGCCCATGGTACTGGGGTCAGGGCAGGGTATACAGCCTACCCACTTACTAGCTAAGTATTTAACCTTAGCCTTATGCAAACTGCTATCACAACAAGAAAATAATTGTATCTATTTTTTAAGACTGCTGAGAATTAAATGAGTTAATATATCAAGTTCTTAGAACAGCACCTGGGGTACATAGTAAGCATTCGGTAAATTTTAGGAAGTATTATCATCATCATCTTAACCATCTCCATCAACTTATTTTTTTCTATTTGTCATCGACACAAACTCTAACCAAGCTGGTATCTCCTTCAAATACCATTATTTTATTTATTTATTTTGGTTTTTTGAGTCAGCATCTTTTTAAGGAGATCACACCAGCCTTAATTCATTATGTACCCCAGGATGATCTCAAACTCATGGGGATACTTCTGCCTCAGCCTTTCACATAACGGACTGCAGGTGCATGCCACCATGCCCACCTAATTATCATTATTTCAAATAACAAGCTGTTGATGAGTGGATAAAAAAGATGTGAAATTTTAAAAATATACACTGGAATACTACTCTGCCAAAAGAAGGATGAGCTTCGTCATTTACAGTTAAATGGATGGACCTCGAAACCATACTTATTTTTTGTTTGGTACCAGGGATCAAACTCAGGTCCTTCCACTTGCAAGGCAGTCGCCAGAACCACTGAGCTAAATCTCTAGCCCTAGAATTAGTTTGACTTTTTTTTTTTTTTTGTACCAGGGATTGAACTCGGGCCCTTGGGCTTTCGAGGCAGGTGGCGGAACCACTGAGCCAAATCCCTGGCCCGAGACCATACTCTTAAGTGAAATAAATTGGACACATATGTTTAAATACTGTATTGTTTCTCTGTTGCAAGAAATCGAACATGGAAATAAGGCCTGAGATGTATAATGAATGTAGGGAAATGAGAAGAAAGTGTTCAAATGGGAATGGGAACAAGGGAAGGAGAAAGGAAGGAAGCAACAAGAAAAAACTGAAAATAGAAGGAAAAAATGGAAACAAAACTTTTGTATATGGGGAGAATGGGATAAAATAAAATAAAATAAACAAAACAAGTCGTATGAACTCATTCCTGGCCCCTGACTTATTCCCTCAATCTGGAATGAACCCATTTTTAACTGTTCTTTTCTTCCTAGCTGTACAATATCTACTCATACATTTTTTTGTTTGTTTTTTTGTATTTTGATTCTTTTTTTTTTTTTTTGGTACCGGGGATTGAACTCGGGTCCTTGTGCTTGCACGGCAGGCCACCGAACCGCTGAGCTAAATCCCCGACCCTGTTTTTTTGTATTTTGAGACAAATTCTTGCTATGTAGTTCAGGCTGGCCTAGAACTCACTATGTAGCCCAGGCTGGCCTAGAACCTCATGGGAATCCTTCCTCAGCCTCCCCGGTGCTGGGATTATAGGCATGTGCCACCCCATCTGACTGATTTTTAAAGAGGCATAGAAGGATTTAATAGAGGTAGAGGATGCACTTAAGAGTGGAGCATTGGTGCTCAAAAAAATGAAGCACCTCCATTCTATTCTTTTTTTTTTTGGTACCGTGGATTGAACTCGGGACCCTCCACTTGCGTGGTAGACGGTGGCACCACTGAGCTAAATCCCCAACCCCTCCATTCCATTCTTGAGTTCCCTACCACCTTCTTCTAAGGTCAAGTTTGATGATATTCTTCCTTCATCTTTGATTTAAAATCAGTGTTATACTAGTAAGTTGTTATTCATTCATTTCTGACATGATCTAAACTGTCCTTTTGGACAGAACTTGTATTTTATGCATTTTTATATTCCTTGTACAGGTATATCACCAGCACTCCATAAAGGTCTATTAAATCAATAACTAAGCAGTGCAAGGTGGTGCATGCCTGGAGTTCCAGCACTCGAGAGAGGCTGAGGCAGGAGAACTGCTGCAAGTCTGAGTCCAGACTGGGCTAGACAGTGAAGTCAGGTTGACTACAAAGTGGGACTCTGTCTCAAAGCAAAACAAAACAAACAACCCTTTTCCACCCAAAATCAATAAATGGGGCCGGGGATTTAGCTCAGTGGTTCTGCCTCCTCCTTGCAAGTGCAAGGTTCTGAGTTCAATCCTTGGTACAAAAAAACAAAAAACAAAACAAAAAAAACCATTAGCAAAATCAATAAATGAACAGTGAACAAGGTAGGCTTTAAAAATTTTAGATTTATCTCCCCCCACCAAGACAGGGTCTCAACTCTGTAATTTAGTCTGGCCTTGAACTCATGGTGATCCTCCTGCCTCAGCCTCCCGAGTGCTGGGATTATAGGTATGAGCCACCAAGCCCAGCTTTAGGTTTGTCTTCTGATTGAAAGCTAACTGTGATGACTACATTGATTAGTTTTCCTAGAACGGCAGCTCCTTTCTCTGTAAAACATGAACACTCTCATCGTCCTTATTATAAAGATTACATAAACCAATACAGAATTTTGATTAGTTTTCGAAAGGCTATATGAAAAGTTTGCCCTTTCCTCCACTATTGGAGATTGAACCTTTGTTCTGAGCTATATTTCCAACCTATTTTTTTAAATTTTGAAATAGGGTCTCACTAAATCACTAAATTACTTTGAGTATCAGCAATGAGTTCAAATTCCTCACCTTGACAAAATCTAGGACAGCCTCTCTCTGAATCTGCTTGGTTCTCATTTTTTCTTCCTCATACTGCAGGGCTGCCAGCTGTGCCTCTCGCCGAGCACGCTCTACCAACTGTTCTCTTCTCCGGTGCAGTTCCAAGTCTGTGTGTGGAAGCTGCAACAAAAGAATCATTTTGTGGGGATGTAGCTCAGTGGCACTGTACCCAGTACCCCCCCCAAAAAAAGAATAAAATAAAGAATCATCTTGCATACAAAAGTGGGATTACAGGGCCGGGGATTTGGCTCAGTGGTTCCGCAGCTTGCCTCGCAAGCGCAAAGGCCCAAGTTCGATCCCCGGTACCAAAAACAAAACAAACAAACAAAAGTGGGATTACAGTTAGGGTTAGAGTATCTGAAAACACTGTTAGCAAGTATCATGTGCATATATTGTATTAACAGAGAAGTAGTAAAATTTAGAGATAAATGGAGATTTAAGTATTATAAAAGAAAACCATCTTAGTTTTTAAAAGTCAAAATTAAAACAGCAAAAATAAAGAAACAAACTAAAAATTACCTGATTGTGGTTTGGTGATAGTGACAAGAGAGATGGTGGCTCAACTGGAACCCTGACCCAGAAAAACAAAAAACTTCTTGATACTGAGACAGACATAAGGGAATCTTTTGTATTATTAACGTAGCTTTGTACTTATAATAGGCAAGCTGTCTAGTTAGTACTGCAAGCGTAACTTCATTTTGTAAACCTGAGCCTCAGTCATTAAACCATAGTGACAGTGATGCTTCCAACTCACATTTCCAGAGATGACACCCCTGATTACAGCCAGCTAACAACTTTGTGACGGCCAGCACTGTAACACGGTTACTTGAGATCACTTTCAAGTAGTATCATTTCTTTATGACATACATAAAACTATCTTCTTTGCTACCAAGTTTGAAACAAGACAGATGTAAACTGAGATGCTTTTTTTTGGGTACCAGGGGATCAAACTTGGGCCCTTGTGCTTGCTAGGCAGGCGGCAGAACCACTGAGCTAAATCCCCGGCCCTGAGGTGCTTTTATATACAAAGCCAATTCATCAAAAGAAATCTGGAGTCATACAGAACCTAGTAACTGTACTTAAAAAGAATTCCTACTCTCATTTTCAACCTTGAAGCAATTTTAATAGCAAAAGTAAGACCATATTGAATACTCTGTTTTTTCTTTCTTTGTGATAATGGGAATTTAACCCAGGACCTCCCAATGGCAGCCAAGAGCTCTACCACTGAGATACATGTCCAGTCCTTTTAAAATTTGACACGAGGTCTCACTAAATGGCCCAAATTGGCCTCAAACTTGCCATCCACCTTTCTCAGTCTTCAGAGTAGACGGGATTGTAGGTGTACACTACCATACTTGGCTGATTTGTATTCTTAAGGCAAAACCCTATTTGATGCTAAAAAGGAGGAGGAAGGACTACTTGTTTATTAGTGTTGTCTTATAATTTGGGTTATCTATCTTTCTCGTGAAGCTGACAGTGTTTCAAGTCTCTGTAATCACATTTTTATCTCAAACTAAAAATGGCAGACTTGTGACTTTGACATTTTGGACTTGAAATTCAAAACTGATTGTTATCCTGTCAAGGTGATTTAAATGCAATGAAGGTGTGTCATTTGGAAAATAAAAATAAATCTCTAAAAGTTTACATAGTTTCCTTTGCCTCCTACTTTTTAAATTTTTTTTTTTTTTTGGCACTGCTAGAGATTGAATCCATGGCCTTGTGCATGCTAGGCAAGATGCTACCACTGAGCTACACCCTCAGCCTGCAATTGCATCCCTAGTATCAAAAAAAAAAAAAAAAAAAAAAAGGCCAGGGATTTAGCTCAGTGGTTCTGCCGCCAGCTTTGTAAGTGCAAGGACCCGAGCTCAATCATGGGTACCCTCCCTCCCCTCAAAAATACAGAGACACAGCAGTCTGCCAAGGCTGCTAGACTCACATCCACCGCACTCACCCCAGATAAAATAACAAGCAGTGGGAGCAATCTCCTCTTATGTGCATGCTTGGGCAATAATCTCATATATTCACACTTGCTCACAGAACCAGACCAGTCTTCATGGTGTGGCCTGGTTTGATGAATGAGGAAATATATTTAACTTCCCCATACCTCAACTTCCTTTTTTTTTTTTTTTTTGGTACCAAGGATCGAACTCAGGTCCTTTGTGCTTGCAAAGCAGGCAGCAGAACCAGAGCTAAATCCCTGGCCCACCTCAACTTCCTCTTTATAAATTGAGGATAGTTATTTTGTACCCTATCGCATGTCCATGGAATACCATACAAAGTATATTCCAATGACTGGCATGGCGTGGTGGTGCATACCTGTAATCCCAGCACTCGGGAGGCTGAGGCAGGAGGATCACTGTGAGTTTGAGACCAGCCTGGGCTACATAGTGAGTTCCAGGTCAGTCTCAACTACATAGTGAGACCCTGTCTCACTGTCTCAAAACCAAAAAAAAAAGTATATTCCACTGATTGTGTATTTAGAATAACACAAATTAACTACAGCTTTGTCCCTAGATTATTAATTTCACTGCAAAAATCCCCCATAGCTTTTACTAGCCATCTGTACATAAACTGACCAAGACATATAAAGGACCAAATAAGCCCATCCCAAACAGCTGTATGTGCCCTGATTTGAATGATGTTTTAACAATGCTTTTTAATCTTCTAAAAGAGTATCTATTAAGAGTATCTAATAGATATCTTCCATACCTTTGTTCTACTAAATTTCTGCACCCTCTTTCTTTTTCCTTTTCTTTTTTAAAAATTTTCCTTTGTAGTGCTGAGGATTGAATCCAGGGCCTTGCACATGTTAGACAAATGCTCTACCACTGGATTACACCCCTGGACTTTTAATTTTTTTTTTTTTTTGGTACTGGGGATTGAACTCTGATCCTTGCGCTTGTGAGGTAGGTGCTGGAACCACTGAGCTAAATGCCCGGCCCTAAATTTTTTTTTAAAACTATGAACTTTCCACTTGTCCAAGTTGTCCAAGCTGACCTCAAACTTGTGATCCTCCTACCTCAGCCTCCAAGCAGCTGGGACTATAGGTGGGTGCCAGAAGACCTATCTACCCTCTTTTTACAACAAAATGTCTTTACAAAGCTGGTCATTTTCCAGTCTCTGCTTTGTTGGGCCAGTTTATTTTATGCTGGCTGCAGTATGGATGTTTTCCTAACAACTCCACTAAACTACTCTTTCAGCTCTTGAGTCTGCCACAATAAATACTCCCACATCCAGCAGTTACTTCTCAGTCCTTGCCTTACCAAACCTATCCATTTTGTGACACTGTTTATCCTTCTCTACACTTCTTAAACCACTCTTCACTTAGCCTGAGACATCACCCTTTCTCCATCCCAACCACCCTGATGCTTTTCTTTTGCTAGATGTTCCTGTCCTAAGTCACTTTACCTCAAACTTACATTTCTAATGCCTTAATCAATACTTCCACGTGGCTGTCCAGGCACCTTAAACAGAACATAACTACAGCCCAATTCTCATCTCATTCCCCAAACCTGTTCTGCTTTGTTCAGACTCCTTGATTTTTTTTTCAGAGTCCACATTTATTTAAATTTTATTTTATTTTGTCCCACCCCCCCATGAGCCCTTCCCCCTCCCCATGTACTTAAGCTTTGCTGATTGATTTTTGTTGTTGCTGTGGTTTCCCCCACCCCCTGGTACCAGGGATCGAACTCAGGACCTTGTGCTTGCTAGGCAGGCAAGGTACCATTATGCTAAATCCCTGGCCTTGTTTTTTGAGGCAAGATCTCACTACGTAGCTCAGGCTGGCTATGAACTCACAAGGAGCCCAGACTGGACTCAAATGTGTAGTCTCCTGCCTCAACCTCCTTAGTATTGGCATCACAGGCATTCAACACCTGCCCAGCTTCCTTGGTGATTTTTATTTCATTTATTTTTGGGGGGACAGGAGATCGAACTCAGGTCCTCATGCTTGTAAGGCAGCAGCAGAACCAATGAGCCAAATCCCCAGGCCCGCCTTGCAGGTGGTGGAACCATTGAGCCAAATCCCCGGCCTTTTTTTTTTTTTTTGGTTCCTTGGTGATTTTTAAACATACCATGCATGCCCCTCCCTCAAGGCCTCTGCCTAGACAGCAGAGCATTGCTCCCTCACACTGGTAGGTTTCCACTGAAATATCATTATCCCATAACACACTGCTCTCACTCTCCTTCACTGGACACTACCGTATCTTTCACTGTGCTTTTTTTCATAGTACTTAGCAGAATTTAACACATATTTATGATACATATTTGTCTATATCTACTTAACAGTAAGCTCTAAGCTATCAGGGAACTGGAAGAGAACCATAACCATTTCAGGGTCAGGAAATACTGTCAGAAGGAATGGAGTGGCATAGTCCCCAAAGCACAGAACACAGACATACAGGTGATATTTAGCCTCTCTTTCACGTCTTGGAGTTTCCTTGAGCTAAGGAACTCTAATCTCTGTAAGGCAGACTTGGAGCAGCTCTGCTTTGTTTTTTTTGTTTTTTTTAAAATAAAAATCACATAATTAATGTGAGCAACTTTTCTACCTTGATGGAAAAATAAAACAAAAAATGTTCAGGTTTTTACCCAAATGCCTTTAGTGCACTTTATAGGGCCCAGTCAATACATCTCTGAGCTAAAAACTGCTCAGATTACAAGCAGACTTTTTAAAAAAATGATATTTTGATACTTTCTAAATATATAACTTATGCTAGTTTCTACTTTAAAGCTATATAATCTATCCTGGTAAATCACTATAAATACTCACCAATTTCAACTTTCTGTTTAGTGTATCCCTGCTTTACTATCCCCCCGAGAGACTTGTGGGAGAGAAGACAAGTGGGGAAAAGAAGATAGTAGTTTTCTTTTCCACCTCAGGAGGAAGAGCCAGAAGGAGCAGTGAGAAAGCTGCAGTTTGTCAACCACTGAGACACAAAGCATGGAGACAGATTCTTTTTTTTTTGGTACCAGAGATGAAACTCAGGACCTTGCAAGGCAGTCAGCAGAACAACTGAACTAAATCCCCAGCCCCGAGACAAATTCTTTTTGTTAACATTATTCAAGTCACATACGACAGAGCATTCTAAGGTGATTTTGTCTTTCTAGGTTCTTCATTATTATTCACCTGAAGACAAGCCCCAGAGGGCAGCAACTCTGGCTGACATTTGCACCTACATTCCCATTCCTAGAAAAGTACTCGGCATACAGCAGATATCCAGCAAACATCTGCTAACAAAACAAATGATGTATTACTGATCTTAAGAGTATGATCAATTATTGGGGTAACACATGGTGTTCTTATCTAAGGACTGCACTAAAATCTAGTGATTGGCGGGGGCACAGGGTCTCACTGTGCAGTTCAGACTGGCTGTGAACTCACCATGTAGCCCAGTCTGGCCTTTAACTCCCAGTGATTCTCCTGTCTCAGCATCCAGAGCACTGGGGTTTCAGGTGTGTGCCACCACGCCTGGCTTAGAATCTACTGATTTGAAATATCCAATTAAAAAGAAATTGTGGAGTTAGTTTCTAACACTAGCAGACTAAACACCTTGAATGGCCCTTCCAGTGCAAACAATTAAAATAATGAATAAAATAATCTTTTAAAATACAATGATAATTCAGATTCTGAAAGAGGAATCTAAAAGCAAGAGCTCTTGATTAAGATGTGTTAGGCAGGCTTGGCCCCTTGGTCTTACCCCAGGGAATGTGTTGTACTGTACAGCAAAGGGGTCTTTGCAGATAGTTACCAATCAGCTGACCTTACAATGGGAGATGATCCAGGTGGACCTAACATAACCATGAGCCCTTAAAAGCAAAAGAGGAAGTCAAAAGAATCTGGGAGATGAGCAGGAAAGGAAGCTGAAAAAGTAAAAAATGTCTGAAATATTTAGCCTGCCACTGCTGTCTTGTGCACAGAAGGGACCCAGGAAGCAGGGTATGTGGGGGACCTCTAAAGGCTGGGCATGACTCCCACCTGCCAGCTGTAAAGGAACAGAGCACTCTGCCCTACAGCCATATGGAACTGACTCCTGCCAATAACCTGCCTGAGCCTGTATGTGGACTGTTCCAGAGTCTCCAGTCAGGAATCCAGGTCAGCCAACACCTTGCCCTTAGCCTTGTGGGACCCTAAGCAGAGGGCCTTGTGGGAACCTAAGCAGAGAACCAGATGGGTCTGCTCAGTCCTCTATCCTTTGGAACTGTGATGTAATACACAGGCATTGTTTTAAACTGCTACATTTGAAAGAGAAGTGATAGAAAACTAATACATAAAGTAGCTGAGTAAAAAGCCGGCTTCTACTTGAGGATTTCTACTAAATCCTAGAGAACTTGAGCCTCACCAACAATAGACTCAGATGAGAGGAACAGGAGATAAAGCTAGGTCTAGCCAGGTGAGCAAAAATGTAATAGTAAACCTGTGTGTGAAACTGGATTCTCAGAGAAGTCATTCTGAGATAAATTTTAAAGCATATAAAATTTAACCAAGTCTTTTAGGAAATAAGGGGTAAAGACTACAGAAGGTCAAGTTACAGGACTTTTTTCTCTCATTATTTTCTCCACAGTTTCTTCATTCTATCAGTCCCTGAGATAATTTTAATACTCTATGAAGCATAAGGAACTATGAATGACAGTTCTACATAATACATTTACTGTCATTTAAGAGTAGGCATATTAGCTCTACTGTTTTAAGACTTCATATAAACAGAGGAATTAAAAGCTGGAAAATTTTTGAGTACTGAAAAAAGTTTATGGCAAGAGATAAAGTTTGTGGCAAGAAACGTTTTAGAACTCAAGCATGAGATGACACATTCTAAACAATCAAACTAATTTTACAAGTAGAGTCACTAAATGTAGTAAAAAGGTCCTATTCATTGAGCTAGGAATAAGAATGCACACATCACTGTCTCTGCCTCTTACTTATCCAGTAAAAACTTTAAGTTAAAAAAAAAACAAAAAACTGAGAACCAGTGGTGGTGGTGCACATCTGTAATCCCAGTCACTTGGGAGGCTGAGCCAGGAAAGCTGTGAAGTGCCAGGATGGCCTGGGCAACAGAGCAAGACCTTGCCTCAAAAGGCCAGAGTGGGTGGGGTGGATGTACCTCACCATTCCCTGGGTTCAGACCTCAGAACCACGCCAATAAATAAATAAAGACTGACTTCTGAAAATCTTTAATACATTCAGGATGGGGCCGTAATTCGTATGCCTCATTGCTGGTAGGCTTGAGCCACTGGGGGTACATGTATGACTCTCCCATCAGCCGGCTTTATATTAATTTTATGATGAAAGTGATTAGACCTGTTTGGGTACAAGCTGCCTGGTTCAAGCCAAAGGGAACATTTTAAGGCCTTTTTTTTTTTTTTTTTTTGGTATTTTTGAGACAGGGTCTCACTTATGTAGTTGAGACTGACCTGGAACTCACTATGTAGCTCAGGCTGGTCTCGAACTCACAGTGATCCTCCTGCCTCAGCCTCCCGAGTGCTGGGATTACAGGCGTGCACCACCATGCCTGGCTTTAAGGCCTTTTTACGGAAGAATCCATATTATCACCACAAAATCTCATTGCCTTTAAGTACCTTCAAATCAACTAATTGTACAGGTAATAGTTTAAGTGATCTGAATTTAGAATATATTAATTTTACCTCTATTTTATGGCATGAGCACAAAAGCACACTGTCACTTAGTTTTAAATACATGGTCTGTAAATAGCACAGTATCTAAGATCTGCACAAAACTCAAATCACACCTTATTACTGAGATTTAAGATGGAGAGAAAGAAGTAGAATTGCTTTTTCAAACCTGTTTTGATGTGAATATCTTCTCATGTCTTCTGGTTTTTGAAACTCCCTAATGGCTGTTGGCTTTACTGGTGAACTCTAGACCCAAAGAGCATAAATAAATCATGTAAAATATGCATCCAGAACAGTGTGATTACACTATTCACATTCAACTTTACATTAAAGATCTGTATATTATATGAAAAGTTATTTTAATAGAATCTTCAAACATGAACGTCATATTTTTTGCATTGCAGACTATATTACATGTTTTGATAAAAATATTCATCGTCTACTTTTATTTAAAGCAAGATTTCCTTCTTGCTGTATTATATAAATTACAGTGACCCAATACAGTAATATTTCCTGAGATCTGAAAAGAACTTAGAGGTCACCCAGTCCTATCTACTCTACCCCAGCATTTGCTCAGTTTCTCTTGAACAGCTTCTGTGACTGGAAGTTCACTGAGAAGATTATGTTTCTTTCCTTTTTTTTTTGGTACCGGAGATTGAATGACCTTGTGCTTGCAAGGCAGGTGGCAGAACCACTGAGGCAACAACCCAGCCCTGTTTCTTTACTTTTTCACCACCACAAATAGTTACCTTAGTCATGCAACTACTCCTGAAGATACTGGTGTCCTATCAAGATAAAAGTTTATCTTATAGGTTTTTTTTTTTTTTTTTTGGTACCAGGAATTGAACTTGGGTCCTTGTGTTTTGAGGCAGGTGGTGGAACCACTGAGCTAAATCCCCAGCCCTCTTCTTTTTTAACTTATATGTTATTTCTGAAAAGCATCACCAAGGAAAACTGAGCTGGCTAAGGTGAGAGAGACCATACACTAAAAAAAATAAAATAAGAAATCTAAGGCAGAGTCTTAATGGTTTGCACAGTACATACTTTGTAAGATGACAATCTACAGAAACAATAACATCTTATTTCAACACCAAAAATAATCATAATGGATATTCAATAAGTAAAAAATAAGAAAACTTCTTAAAAAAGGGTAATTAAACATCAAATTTAAAACTACTTACAGTCTACCTCCAAGAAATAAGTATATAATATGTAACTAGAAAATCTTTGGCCAGTTACTCCAAAGGGCTAAAAGATGACTGCCCAAAAATGTGGGCATAACAATCAGATTGAATGGGCCACAATTCTGTAATACTAATGTGAGAATAATTACTCTAATTTTAGTGACCATGTCATTTTTTTTAATAAGCAAAAATTTTTCTTAGGATGTTGTATCAGTGACTTAACCACCCTGGTCTTATGATATTACAACTACCTAAAATTACTGTCAGAGGTACTGGAATTTTCATAACACAATAAATGCAATATTGACTTAATTTAAAAATAAGTATAAGTCATAATCTATTCAGGCAGGGGTGGTGTATGTATGCGAGTGTCATTATAATAAAATTAAATAGAGTGTTTAATATCTCAAATGTGTTTTTAATATCATTTTTTAAAGATAGTGTTCAGAATTACAAACAAGAGACTTTCCACTGTTAAAACATCTAAAACAAGACTGCTTCACATTTCACCGAGTGCCATATTTTATGAAGCTTTATGACTCAGAAATCACAGAGTCTTATGACATAGAATCATAAAAATTACCGTATAATTTAGAATTTAAAAACATATTACTATAAAATGGATTATTACCCATTATTGTCTAATGGAGTAAAGAAATGGTGGCATAATTTTTCATTACAGTATTTATAATAAGTATTTTCAATTATAGTAGATACCTCATTTATATAACTTAATCATAAAATGATCAAGAATGACCACAAAACAATTAAAGATTATGTGACATTATTAATTTTACTTTAATTGCAAAATAATTCTTTGCTCCAGCCAAGAGCCCAATAGCCTGAGCCACAAGCAATTCATCCATCACGTGCCTATTGCTATCTTTGGGCTAAAGGATTTGTTTTATATAACTTTATCTAGTTTCTGAACTGTCTTGTGATCACTGACAAAAAGTACTGTGTTCAAAGCCTTCTTCACACAAGAAAACCAAAGGACTCTTTTTAAAGAATGATAGTATCACTTGTAGCACATCCCACTTGATTAATTTGTTTCTGAAAGGCTATACATCATTCTCCAAAAAGACCCCGAGTGTTTCTCAAATAACCCCTGCTCAGAGCCAGGGACAAACTCCAGACTTCAACATCACAGACATGAAGACGGAGCCATTTTATTCGGCTGATTGGAGGCACTAAAGAATGCTATTATTCTCCTTTAGACCCCGGGGGAACTGGCAGAGTCGGCAATGGGCTGAATGGTCATTTGTTTTCCAGGGCAATCACTTCAAGAATTTTAATAGCAAACAATTTTTGTTTTGTTAACTTAAGATAAAAGTTCCAATATAATTAAGCTTATTATAAAAATTTTATGGGTAAGTTTTGTGTTGTCTCAAGTCAACTTTTTTGGGCTTAATTCTTATACTGATCAATCATATTATGATTTACCAGTTAAGTTTTAATAAAAAAGCAAAACAAAAACAATGAAACCCCCAAAACACCAACAATGGAAAGCATCTGCTTCCTCTGTATTTTCTCCAAAGGCCTTAGGTTACTCTTAGGACTCCTTTTTTACTATTTCTTCAAAATTATGAAATCTGTTATTTAAAAAAGAAATTGAAATTCTACTTGAACTACTTGCTGATTTCCTGAATAAATCTGAAAAATTAAGGACTAAAATTAGAAGTAAACATTATAATAAAACAATTAGGCCTAAACCAAGCAGTTGTTGGTGCGAGAGAAACGTATACTACTGTGAAGTGCCACAAGTTTAGTCTTCAATGTGCACCACCTCATGAGAGACCCGCCGCTGTTCGATGTACGCCATGAACTGTGAGCTGAGGCTGTCGGAGTCTAGGCCCTGGGGCTGTCTTGCTTCATCCTCCTCTTCCTCGGCCGCACAGCTGTCAATGTAGTCGATCTGATCCAAGTCGTGTTCCACTGCAAACACCACACACATCAGAGAAAACAATCAAAGACAGCCAATAAAAAGCATTTGTTTAAACTATATTCTCTCCTGTCCCCCAATTTCTATTCTGAAGGTAGAAAGGACACAAAGTTTCAGTCTTTATAGTCCATGGCCACACACTGTCAAAGTCTCCTGAAAACCTTAGTCAAAGGTCATTAAAGAAAGCTAACAGTAATTACTGAGATACAGACCTAGTTGAATCTCTTATTTCTTTGGATAGCTCCTGAGAGTTTTAAACAAGACAGTTTGCATTTGTGAAATAAAGACAAGAGATGACTAATTTTTAATGACTGAAAAGTGAATCTTTTCTTTTAATTTTTGGAGGGCTTAATAACATCTCTTTCGAGGGTTGGGACACAGAAAACCTAACAGTCAACTCAAAAGAAAGTAAGGGCAATAAAAATTAGAGTAGCCAGGCTTGGTAGTGCACACCTGTAATCCCAGCTATTTGGGAGGCTGAAGCAGGAGCATTAGAAGTCAGAGGCCAGTGGGGGCAATGGAGCAAGGATCTTCCCCAGTCAATCAGAGAGAGAAGAGGAGGGAAAGGGTAAGGAGAGGGTAGGGGAGCAGGAAGAAACTGGACTTGCAGAGAAAGTTATTGACTAACATTTCACTTCCTGGAACTTTTGTGGAACATTTTTTAAAAAATAAATTACTTTATCACATTCTTCCCCTCAAGCCCCCTCCCCTCCCTTGTTGAACACTTTTTAAAAAATCACAACCAGAACAAAGATTTTTCTATTCAGAAAATTAACTGCTAAAGGTCGACCTTGTAGATATTTTGCAGCAATTTGTGAATGAAAGGAAAATCATTTGAGGAATTTTTTTCTTCTCAAGATGCTTCAGGGTGAAGAAAGCATAAAATTAAGACACAGCTGCATACTTGTTTCATCTCTAAGTTTTAGAAAATCCCACTGTTTTTAAGTTTAAAACTAATTACATTTAATAAATATTAAAAATGCAACATTAGGAAAAAAAAAAACCTTTGCTACTAAGATGGTTTCTTCAGAGATGCAGTACACCCTGTTATTCTATGATGTTTCATAGGTTGCCTGTAAGTGCAGCTGGGACAGTGAATTTGGAGAAATCTAGTTCTCAATCTAGTCTTTTTTTTTTGGTACCAGGGACCAAATTCAGGACCTTGCACCTGCGAGGCAGGTACAGTGCCACTGAGCTAAATCCCTGGCTCTCAATGTAGTCTTCTGTCTACATTTTTGTAAAAAATTCTAAAGCTGCAATTAATATTAAAAATAAATTGTGAGTTATTATGATTTGTTTATAACTGAAATAGATGACAAAGTCCTAGGTCTACATTTATATTAGAAACCAGGTATTTGAATGCATTTTTTGAATGTGCTATAATTTGTCTGACTACAAAGTTTATATTGTTACTATTTTCCAAGAGAGCAACATCACTTTTTCATACTATTTAGACAGTGCAGTTCAAGAGAAAAAAAATGCAGCTTACAAAAGGGAGCCACGTAAGTAATTTTAAACTTCCTAGTAGCTATATTAAAAATAAAGGTAGCTGGATGTCCTGGTAAACGGCAATTATCCTACTGCTGGGAGGCTGAGACAGGAGGATTACAAGTTCAAGGCCAGCCGGGGCAACTTAATACTCTGCCTCAGCATACATACACACATACACACACAGTAAATATATACGTATGGAGAAGGGAGGTAGCTTAGTGTGAGGTTCTGGATTCAAGCCCCAGTAATACAAAACAATCCATACCCCTCCACCACGCCCGCAAAAAAAGGAAAAGATGATTTAAAAAGTTTTTGTGGGCCAGGGTTTTAGCTCAGTGTTTCCTCCCCCTGCCTCACAAGTGCAAGAACCTGGGTTTGATTCCTGGTATCAAAAACAACAAAAAAATATTTTTGTTGTTTTTTGTTGTTTTTGTTACTGGGGATTGAACTGAGGGCCTTCACAATGAACTACATTCCCAGCCCTGTCCTTTAAAAAAAATTTTTTTTTTAAATTTTGAGACAGGGTCTTGCTAAATTGCCCAGCCTGGGATTAAATCATTAAGCTGTCCAATCTCGGCTTGAACTTGTGATCCTCCTGCTTCAGCATCCTAGTGTTAGGATTACAATTGTGAGCCACCATGCCTGGTTAATATTTTATTTTGGGGGGGCTGGGGATTTAGCTCAGTGGTACTGCTGCCTGCCTCGCAAGCACAAGGGCCTGAGTTCGATCCCATTTTTTGGTACCGGAGATCGAACTCAGGCCCTTTGTGCTTGCGAGGCAGGTAGCAGTACTACTGAGCTAAATCCCCGGCCCTGGTTAATATTTTTTATGTTGTCCAATATATCTCAGTGTTATTTCAACATATAAATCAATATGATATTTTATATATTTTTTCCTATTTAGTCTTCAAAATCTGATTTGTATTTTATACTTCATAGTACATCTCAAATCAGAAAAAGAACATTTCACGTGCTCAGTAACAATATGTGGCTAGTGGCTACCATACTGAACAAAACAGATCCAGAAATTATTTTATGTCTTAAACAAACTCACTGGAAAGATAACTTGTACAAGGGCACAATTTAAAAGAAAACTAGGACTGGGGATTTAGCTCAGTGGTTCCAACGCCTGCCTTGCAAGTACAAGGACCCAAGTTCGATTCCCAGTACCAAAAGAAAGAAAAAAATAAAAGAAATAAAAGAAAACTAAAACTACTAAAATGTGGATGGAATAGCTAAGTGACAGGAATTAAGAATACAAAATGGTAAGGAAAAGGAAGACAGCAAGCCACTTACAATCATCAGAGATGAAAGCTTTACTCCAAAAAACAAAGTAAGTCATTTCTCTTCAATAATCCCCCCAAATATTAGGATTTGGTGACTTAAAACCAATATGGAGCAGAATGCTAAAATTAAGAGTTCATTTCAGAAGTACTACACAAGGAAGCAGAAAGATAACTACCTGTTTCATAAAAACAACTGCAAAGGTTTAAAAAAAATTTTAATGGCATATTTTATTTTTTGTTTTTTTGAGATAGGATCTCACTTTGTAGTTCAGGCTGGCCTTGAACTCACTGTGTAGTCCAGGTTGGCCTCGAACTTCCGGTGATACTCCTACCTCAGACTTGTAAGTGCTGGGATTACAGGTGTGTGCCACCGTGCCCAGCAACTGCAACGTTTTAAATGCCAGAATAAGGAAAACATTCAGAAGCCCTGAAGAGATTATATAGGTGAAAGAAAAGGTAAAGGTAAAGCAACACACTAAATTCCTGCAAGAGATCAAATCATCACTTAAAAAAGGGAGAATGGCATTTCAAAGACATATTCCAGGTAAACTGTCTGTAATAAAGTTTTCTCCCAAAATAAGAATGAGAGAGACAAATTGTTAACTGCAAACCTGAAAACAGAAAAACTGAAGTTTCACCCCTGAGGAAAACAATGTTTCTCAGTCATTACATAGAAAGAATTCTTGAAAAGACAATGAAAAAGCTATAGATACATAAAAGGAGTAGACATGGAAAAGACTGCTTCAAAAAAAAATTTACATTAAATTATAAAGATTAGATGACATTGGAATTGTTTACCTCCACCATTTGTAACAACTAAACTGTTCCGATTCTCTTGGTATTGGCTTTCTCTTCGTAGTCTTTGTTCCTTAGTAATTTCTGCTACCCGAAGAGGCAGATCTGAAAATTCATCTGTAGGCTTAGAAAACAGCAGAAACATTTTAAAAATCACATTCAATTTTGGCCAAAATACTTAAGGGTGGGCATAATATATAACCTAGTTAAAATTAACATTTAGGAAAGAATAGCAAAGAGGTTTTTGGTGCTGGGGACTGAACCTAGTGCCTTAGGTAACCACTGAGCAGTATCCCCAGCCCAGCAAAAATGTTTTGGAAATGGACAACAAAGATGGCTAGAGAACAATGGAAATATATTTAATGCAAATGAAATGGCCTTTTTTTTTGGTTTTTTAAGGCAGTGTCTCACTATGTAGTTGAGACTGACCTGGAACTCACTATGCAGCCCAGGCTGGTCTCCCACTGCAGCAATCCTCCTGCCTCAGCCTCCCGAGTGCTGGGATTACAGGTGTGTACCACCATGCCTGGCGAAATGGCCTTTTTTTTGGTACCAAAAATGGAACTCAGGACCTTGAGCTTGAGAGGCAGGCGGTGGAACCACTGAGCTAAATCCCGGCCCCTGAAATGGACTTCTGTTTGAGACATCCTTCTGTCTCAGGCTCTCAAGTACTGAGATAACAGCCATGTGCCACCATGTCCAGAGAAATGAACATTTAAAAATGGTTAAAATGGGCTGGGGATTTAGCTCAGTGGCACTGTACAGGCGCAAGGATTTGAGTTCAATCCCTGGTACCAAAACAAAACAAACAAAACAGTTAAAATGGTAAACTCTGTTATAGATATTCTACCAGTCAACAAAAAAGAATAAGAGCATTCATGACTTCATAAATATATACACAGATTTAAGTGATCTACATATATGTGTCTCTTAGACGCAGCCACCCAGAGATATGCACATGAGCAATTCCAAATTATAATCAGGTTGTGTATGATTTAAATTTAATCTGCTTTGGACTCTCAATGAAACAATGTTATAAACTGGATGTTATCAGCCCTGCTGACAAAAGCTTAATCGTTGAATCCAATTTAAGACAAAAAGCAGAAAACATAATGGTAACAGTTACACAAAACCAAAAAGCAGTCTAATTTTGAGCATGTGGATATTCCTCAGTAGGCTCCCCACGTCTACCCATCAGCCTGGAGTCCTGCTTTCCCTTGCCTTCCAGCATTCCTTCTACCTCTACTCCAGATAACCTGTAGACCTCAGATCTAACAGATAATTCCTGTTTGGCTTTCCAGAATATAAAACTATATGTATGAGACAAAGAGGTAATAAGCATGTAAAATACACATGGTAAAAATATGGTAAAGAGAATACTTTCTTTCTTTTTTTTTTTCTTGATTTCTTACTGAGTTTATTGGTACAATCTAGGTATACAGTACAGTTACATTCATTACTGGGATCCTGTACCTTTACTTGACAGGTCTTAGTTCTCATTTTTTCCCCTTGTCTCTGCCCTCCCTTCACCCCGCCTCCTCCCCTCCCCATTAACAAACTGTTTATTTCCATTTTTTCATTTTCTCTTTTCCCTTATTTCTTTGCCCCTACCCTTCCCCTTTCCCTACACCTTTAGCCCTTTTCTTCCTATTTCACACTCTTAATTATCCCATGAGGATTTTGTATACTATTATAGTTTTTCACACCAGAGAAACTATTTGGTATTTACACGTGTGACTTATTTATTTCACTTAGGAGTATATCCTCAATATGTGTCCTGTCCATTTTCCTATGAATGACTCTAATTTCTCATTCTTTATGGCTGAGTAAAGTAATATTCCATTTTATAGAAAAACCATATCTTCTTTATCCAGTTTCCAACAGATGGGCTGTTTCCAAGTTTTAGCTATTATAAAATGTGCCGCTATAAACATTGGTGCACATATATCACTGTGGTATGATTCTTTTAAATATTTTGGAAAGATACCCAGCAGAGGGATGGCTGGGTCAAATGGAACATCTAGATCTAGCTTTTTGGTATCTCCATATTGATGTCCATAGTGGTTGCACCAGTCTCTCTCTCTCTCTCTCTCTCTCTCTCATACTAGCTAAAGAGAATACTTTCTTTCTTTCTCTCTTTCGTACTAGCTAAAGAGAATACCCTCTCTTCCTCCCTCTCTTTCTTTCTTTTTCGTTCGTTCTAGCGGTGGAACCCAGGACCTCACATATGCTAGGTAAATGGATGGAAGAAACTATGTGAGATTTTTGTTCCTGCCTTGACTTTCCCGTTTTTTATGTGCTAAGGAACTGAATCCAACTAGGATCTTTCACCTTTTTCTTTTCTCTTAATCAGGAGTTTCAATATACAGAAAAGAAGAGATACTCACCTCATTCCCTGACCACCTCTTATCACCGCTGTCCACACTATTGAAACCTGAATCAAGGGCTCCATAAGGGCGACCTGAGTACAGTTCTTCATGGCTGCCAGAAAGAAACAAGCTTTTACTGTAAAGTTTGATATGTTAAAATTAAAATGTAAAATAAAACAGATATAATTTTACTAATAAACATTCTCTTGGTGCTTAGTCCTCTATTATAATGTGTATACACTGAAATTTCACAGATCTTAGCTGTGACAAACCACTGCATCCCTATCCACACACCTCTGTCACATAAGGATATTTCTACTTTACCAGAAAATGCTCACCCATCTCTTTCCAGTCAATTCCCCCTCATACTGCCACTGCATACTCTTCAGAGAAAATCTCTGCTCTGTTTTTTTTTAATTATTAAATTAGCATGGAACAATGAATATTGGTCCAGAAAGACAGACACAATCTCATCTCTGGAACTTGTACGTCATCTTACATGGCAAAGGAAATTAAAGTTGTAGATAGGAATAAGGCTGCTGATGTTTTTTTTTTTTTTTTTTGGCTCTTTCTGGTACCGGGGATCGAACTCAGGACCTCATACTTGCCAGACAAGCACTGTGCTGCTGAGCTACCTCTCCAGCCCCTGGTTAGATTATTTTTAAAAAGGGAGATTATCTTGATTTTAGAGTGAGTCCAATGTAATCACAAATGTCCCTGTATTTGTTTTTGGTGTTCTGGCCTCCTCCTCACAGTTCTCCTTCAGCCTCTAGACTGCTGCTTACATGAGTCCTTAAACATGGAAGAGGGAGGAGGCAGCACAAGGCAATGAGATTCAATGTTAGCTTGGGGATACTACACTTGATCTTAGCCAAAAGGCCGAGAAACGATTTGGCTTAAAGATAGAGGGCAAGTTCCTCAAGCCAAGGAGTTATGAGACTCTAGAAGTTGAAAAGGCGAGAAGATCCAACCCAGAGCCCACAGAGAGGGCACAGTCCTCCAAGCACCCTGATTAGCCCAATAAGGTTGTTCAACTTCTAACTTACAGAATCATTTCAAAAAATCTGCATTTAAGCATTTAAGTTTGTAGTAATTTCTTATGACAGCAACAGAAATGAATAAAATTAGTTTTTGGGTTTTTTTTGGTACTGGGGATCAAACTCAAGACCTTATGCTTGCGTGGCAGGCGCAATACCACTGAGCTAAATCTCAGCCAATAATTAACTTTTGATTATTCTAGAATTTATAAAGATGGAGTCAGTTGTACTCTATGTGGCTTTTTCCCCGCTTGGTCAGCAGCATGTCAGTGAGAGTCATTTTGCATTCCTTCTTAACTGCTGAGTAACATTCCACTTAATGAATATGTAATTTTAAAAATCCATTTTCTATTGACAAACTCAGTTGTTTCCAGTTTTTGGCTGCTATGAATAAAAGTGCCAGGAACATTAGTAAATAAATGTTTATAAGGACTTTGTTTCCATTATTCTGAGTAAATAACTCAGAGTAAAATAAATGGTTTGTGTGTTAAGTGTAGGGTTTAACTTAAAAAAAAAACCCTGTCAACCTGTTTTCAAAAGTAGTTGTGACATTCTGCATTCCTATCAGCAATGTATTCAGGTTCCAGCTGCCAAAGCTTGCATTGCTGAGCCTTTACTCATTCAGGTGAGTACCACAGTTTCCAGCTATGTATTTCACTATGGTTTTCATATGTGTTTCTCTAATGACCAGTGATGTTCAATAATCTCTCTCTGGTGTGCTTACTGGTCATTTGTTTAGTTTCTTTTGTTAAATGTTTATTCAAATTCATTGTTTTAAAAAAATTTTTTTAAACAATTTTAATGATTTTTTTAGTTTCATCAAAACTCAAAACTTTCAATTTTGGGCCAGGGATTGCCTCATGAGTGCAAGGGGCTGAGTCTGATCCACAGTACCAACAAAAACCAAAATAAAACAAAACAAAAAAACCCCTAAAACAAACGAACAAAAACCTCCAATTTTAAAAACATGTCAAAAAATGAAGATGTGGGGGGCAGGGATTTAGCTCAATGACACTGCACCTGCCTTGTAAGTGTAAGGTCCTGAGTTTGATCTCCAGTACCAGGAAAAAAAAAAAAAAAAAAAAAAAAAAAAAAAAAAAAAAAAAGAAGGAAAATGGGTTACAGACTGACACCAGTATTATTGTCCATTATAAAAATGCACCATCAATGCAACTCAGAAATATTTTGCTAAGCAAAAGAAGTCAGACACAAAATGGTACATACTCTGATTCTGTTTAGATGAAGTTCTAGAGAGGCAAAACTACTGTCATAAAGCAGATCAGGGTAGAGGGACACATGTGATGGTGTTTTCTTAACAACTATTAACTTACAAAAACTAACTGAACTGCACACTTGAAACAGGTAAATTTTATTGTTTGTAAATGATCTCAATAGAGCTGTTACAAAACTCCACCGAAGTGCTAAACTATTTCGTCCAAGTGGAAATACCACACTTTCAGCAATATATAAGAGCACTGGTTGACGCCACACCAATGATTGGCAGGATCAGTTTTCTTAATTTTTGTCATTCTAGGGGATGTGTACTGACATCCAGTGACCCAATTTGCATTGACTTCCTACCATGACAAATGACACTGATTACTTTTCTGTGTGCTTACTGTCCATTTATATAGCTCTGTGAAGAAGTCTGTTCAAGTCTTCTGTTCATTTTTCAATAGGCTCTCTCTTCTGTGTCTATGCTTATGTGTGTGTGTTTATGACTTAACTCAGGGGTTTGCATTGAGCTATGTTCCCAACCCGGTTTAATTTTTTTTTTTTTTTAATTTTTGAGACAGTCTCATAAGTTGCTAAGTCGCCCAGGCTGGGCTTAAACTTGCAGTCCTCTTGCCTCACCCTACTTGAATGCTCAGATTACAGGCATGATTACAGGCATGTGCCACTACATGCAGCTTGAGTTTTTTTTTCAATCATTAAATTGTAGATATTCTTCATCTGGATACAAGTTGGCTGTCACATCTTTTTTTTTGAGATTGGTTCCTGCTACATAGCGTAGGCTGGCCTCAAACACAGCAATTCTCCTGCCTCAGCCTCCCAAGTGCTAGGGTTACAAATATGTGCCACCACACCTCTCAGTTGTCACATCTACGCACTGCAAATATATTTCCCAAGTCTATGGTTTGCCTATTCATTTCTAAATATTTTCTTTTCATGAGATTTTAAAATTTTTGATAAAAATCTAATTTATTATTTCTTTTCTTTTTTTTTTTTTTTTTTTTTTTTTTTTTTTTTTTTTT